AATTTAATGAGAACGTTCTTATTCATAAATATTACTCATAGATATTTTGTTAAATATAAACAGTTATATGGAACAGAGATAACGAACATCTTTCCAAGAATCTGAGTTATTTCGGTCGATTCTTTAATTAGTTATTACGCAGAGTCGACTCTTTTTGCGAACATTTGTCCTTACAAATAGTATCGTCATCTCGACGATGAATCATCATCCGACAGCATGGTTAACTCTAAGATCTATACCAGTCTTTTTGATGCTTTCCGATCGTTAATCATCTTTTCGCTAACTTCATTATTGTCAAGGGCCTCATGAGTGGGCGGAGTAGAGACGAAGTTTATCACTTCGTTCAGATCTATTTTAGCCCGTTACATTCCAACTTTTAGAGATTCTCATTCTAAAATATTACATTCTTGATGGCACAGTTTGATCGTTTCTTCAAATCGCATACATTTACTTTCACTTGTTGATTGAAATCACTATTCCTTAAAGTAAAAGAAATATAACATATAAATGCAACAAGAATTACCGGCATCGATAATTTCAATATATTTAAAAGAGTTACGCTTCTACGATACAAAATGAACTTTAGTACATACGTGAAATTCGAAGGGCTATACCTTGACATGTTCATGAGCACAAGGGTGAATTTTATGTTCGTGGTAACGAGCTTCCGCGGCAAGCTTTATAGTATTTATGGGGGTTCTTCGCACGGTCAGGTGGTAAAGTCGTTTTCTTGATACGTCGAGAGAGAAAACCTTTTCGGCGAAACGGAGACTGAATAGGGAATAATAAAAAGGGGAAAGAAGGAAGATATAGAGATGCTATACTCGTCGTTTAACGTAAACGATACTTCCACGAAGTTTATCAAATGTTTATCGTTGGGAGAGATCGCGAACGATCGATTTCCGTCGGGTTTATATAAATCGAGATTCATTGAAAGAGTTCGAAGTTAAATCTCTTGAAATTCAGATGAATAATCCTTTTCTGAGATATTTTAAGAGCCCTCTTGAAAAAGTTTATAATATTTTTGCGTATAGTACAGTCGAAACAATTTCAAAGGGATCGTTCGCTGAAAGAAATTTATGAGATTAACGATCGATTGGAAATACCTTCGTAAAAGGTCGAAGGGAAATAATAGTGCGGCATCCGAAGAGGATCATTTCGAACGGGAGCAATCGGTATAATCATAAAATAACTCGTAGGGTCGACATTACCCAATTAGAACTTTATGATACGCGGAAGTTGGACGATAGTGCTTATACTTCGTCGAACGATAAATGCTAAGCAATTCCATTGGAGTCAACCACGTTTTCTCTTTAGACATTAGATTGCGGCGCTAAAGGTGAGATTAGAAAAGTGGAAAAGTAAATTATTGTATGGCTCGTTTTATCAGCTATTAACACCTTAGGCTAAGCGAACGTTATCGTTTTCTTAGTAGCCTGTTAATTCGTTAACAAGAAACATGTTATCGAAATATGATGTATGTATCTGTGTAGGTAAACATTAGTCGGATTTACCTTTAGAAGAGGGTAACAATCTTCTTTTAGGCTAGGCTTAAGCTGTGCTAGGTGAACCGGATGTTAAGAGTCATAGCGAGGGCACCGGTGGTTCTCATAAAACTTGATGAAACACGATACCCCGAGGGTCTTCTTTCTTAAGCAAGTCAACGATTATCTTCTTGATACAAACGTCTAAGTTCGTGATAACGAAGGGATTGTCAAGTACTACCGTACGGAAGGCGTGTTTGGATAGTCTAAGTTTTCTCAGATTAATAAGATAATATCTTTAAATGAGATGCTGCTCTTACGTTCTATTCGTATTTCCAAGAAGATGTTTATTTTTTTTTCTTTTTCTTTTTTTTTTTTTTTCAACGCTGATGACCTAAACGTTATTATCCTTGATATCTGTTTTAGTATTAATCACCTTTGGGTAGACTGTAAGCTCTTTAGGATTAACAAGTTAATCTCCGTTGCTATCGGGTTTCTCGTTTTCCGTAGTTTCTACGAAGACGAACATTTCATTTAACATCAATGACCCAGAAAAGGTTAACTCCAGTCAGATATTACATTTGACGTCCGCTTTGGGCGATAATTTGTAGCAAATCCTATTAGACGCTTTCGCTCGTTAAGAATATGTTTCTCGATGGCGCATAGAGCACGTGGAGACTGTCCGTTATCTCGCGGATGATGAGCCATAATCAAATTAAATGCTCGTCGGTTTTGTACAAACGGACAACTGTGCGGCTTGTCTCGAATTCTTGGAGAGAGATCTTCGCGAAAGCTAATACTTGAAGTAAAGATATTGAAATTCTCACGATCCAAATGGCAAAAAATATTATGAAAAGTTTTGAAAAAATATCTTTTCAATTTGTAAATCCTATTGTAAGAGTTTCGTAGATCATAAAAGCTACTCGATTTTTAATCTCCTTGAAGATTCTTTAACGTAGAAGCGCGTGTCAGGAGAACTTTATCGTTCTCTTTGATCCCGCGGCATCGACTTGCATGGATTTTACGGTGCAAGAGATCAGCACGTGGAATTGCTCAATTACGCGAGACTAACAATCCCTTGCTACCTTCACGGTAAAGTAGAGGCTAAGCTTTCCAATGGAACGTGGCGGGTTTTACCTTTGTAAATTGGCGCAAAAAAAGAAAAAAAAAAAAAAATAAAAATAATCGAGAGCGGTCGCAACGATGGACGTTGTCGATTACCTTTCGAATCGGCACAGCTACCGGCACGAGAGTCAATCTTTGATCGAATTATCCCACTTTTGAATTATCCTCGAATAATCGAGGTCCGTTTAATAACATAATTTATCATTCATTATCGAACGAATTTATTATTGACGATTCCACACGGTTTTATTATAAATTTAATGAAATCTGTACAAATTAAATTAATTATATTTTAAAGGTTAATGAAAAAAACGTATAACGTTGTTATTCTATGTATGTTATCCTTCGAACAGAACCAAAAAGAGATCGGTATTGGAATCATTTTTCATTCGAATACTATTTTTGTATGTTGCCAGCATCTCGTTGATCTCGCAACAGAAGTTAGTTTTTTCCTTGGCAGCTTACGACAACACGAGCCGATAATACATTCCCGAAATTACTTGCCGCCTTATTTTCATTGAACGATCTGTAACATCTGTGCCGTCGAGACTGTTTTGGGATACAGAAAGGCCGCTCCTTGACGTACGCAGAAAACGTTCCATCTATTCGCAGGATGATCGAGCAAGCACGAAGATATGTACGTAGAAGAAAAAAGGAAGAAGAAGAGGAAGAAGAAGAAGAAGAAGAAGAAGAAGAAGAAGAAGAAGAAGAAGAAGAAGATGATGATGAAGAAGAAGAAGAAGAAGAAGAAGAGAAAGTAGTTTTTGGTCGTAGGCAGAGTAGACTACGTGCTTCTTTGGCTCCTCGGCAAAGATATGGCGAATGTTCATTGGCTTTGACGAGGCGTGGCGGACGAAAATAATCTTTGAAATTCGCGCTCGTTAATCAAAGACTCTTGCAGCCTTTTATCTTTCTCTTCTGAATTTGTAAAATTCTTTTTTCATTCGATCTCATTACGATCATTTAAAACGATTCGCAAGAAATCTCATTAGAAATGATTATGTCGCTTATGACAATGTCAATGATTGATCAATAGGAATGAAAAGTGACATACAAGAGATTCTAATATTTATTTCTTACAATTTTAGAAAATGATACATGTATAATACATGACGTAGAAACTGAAACTCATTCATTGATATCAACAGCTGTTATGAAGAAACAAAGTTCTTCGCCAGCTAAAGTTCATCAAATTTCCGAGTATTCGTTCATTAGTATCATACAAATACCAGAGTAGTGATCACTGAATGGCGTGTTTGGCAATGAAAAGTGGCATATGAGATCAGTCTTGATGAGTTTCCCGATCTTTTCTAAGATTTCTAGTCTTCAAGAGTCTTCATGATGTACATATTACCCAAGGATAATCTAATCTTAGTTGATGAAGAAGGAGAGAGAAGCTACACCAACGTCGCGACGAATGCAAATACGAAGTCGTTAATAACGTCGGAAGAACGGCGTAGATTCGAAACAGTTCTCAGAATTAGAGTACTTAACGAATCTCAAGAGAGAGTGAGAGAGTTTTCGATAAGCATGGCCTGCTTCGTCGTAAGCACGAAGACTGTTGTAGGTGTCTGACGCGATTCACAGCCCGTGGCAAATAGCACTGCCAAGGACGATCCAAAACGATCTTCTCAAGTGCAACAGGAGAGAGAAAGAGAGAAGTGGGGAGAAAGAAAGAGACTGTCTGCGTTGCATCGTGAAAGTCGATCACGAGATCAGCCGTGCGAGACTGAGAATTGCTGAAGGGTAACGTCGCGTACACCCTGGAGATCTCAAAGAATGCGAACGTGCGAAATTACCTGTTTGAGCTATGCGATTTTCTGAGATTGCTTCAAGCGGAGATCATTTTCAAGACATGATTACGATAGTTCGCAATGGATTTGTGAATCGATGATAGTTGATTAAAACGTCAAATGTATTTATGATTTAGACTTGGAATCTTTTCGATCAGCAAGATAGATGTTTACCAGATCAGATAGATGTCTTATTGACAAAGTCGATGTCTGTGCTCGTGTGGACAGTACATTCTGATAGGAGCTTATCTTTCAAGGCCGCGTTCTTGGATCGTTGCCCTTTCCAAGGATACCTGGCGAAAAGAAAAGAGAGAATCGATACGATGTACATCGAACGATCGGTGAACGGTCATAGCAAAGATCGAGATCTTCCCTCGCCAAGGTCGTTTAGAAGGGAACTCGATTCTATCCGGCTCGATTTGCGGTTTCTCGTAGGTGCAACCGTCGAAGAGATCGGACAGGATAGTGTCTTCTTTGAAAACTAGGAAATCTTTCTTATGATTTAGAGATAATTTTTTTTCGGATATCGTTATTTTTTTCGTTTCTTTTCTTTTCAATAAAAATAAAATGAACACGATCCATCGAGAGTTAAACTCACCGTGTTAGTGACGTCCGATTGCATGCCGGAATCATCTTCGACGCCGGCTTTAATAAGATCTTCCTCCTTCTCGTTGTCCTCGGTGTTCAAGTAGTCATCGTATTCCTGCTCGAGACTCTTTGTCTTAGCTTTTCCGGAATGCTCGTCATCGTCTTTAACCACGACACTGATCACGTTCTTCGAGGGCTTACGTTTGATCTCTGCACTCGCGGACTTGATCATCGCGACGTTCCTATCCACTACCTCCTCTCCGTTCGACGGCTTTTTATTTACAAAATAACTGGACGCGCCGGCTACATAAGAAGAGCCGACGACCTTCGGACGAGTAAAATTTCTGGAGGCACTGTTGTTGTTGTACGATATGCGCAAAGGATACTTTTCTATACCAACGTTCCTGTAATCCCTTTTCACCGTCGGCTTCGCCGTGCTAGGATCATCCGACGTAAGTCTCCTGATAATATCGTCGTAGCTGTACAACGGCGGCTTATTTTCATTTTTGTAAAAATCATTATCGAGTTCCTCCTCGGCATTTTCATTGTCGGCGTCGTCATCCTCTTCCTCTTCTTTCTCGGCTTCCTTCCAGATATCATCCTCTTCCTCCTCCTCCTTCTCGTTCTCCATATAATCCTCTAAAATTCTTTCGGTCAAGTTCGTTCTCCTTCTTCTCTGATCGTCCAATCTAAATTTTCTCATGCTATCGAGGTCGCTCGCACCGTAGAATTTCTTTCCGTTACGATAACCAATCGAACTTTGCCTATTGCTTCTCCAATCTCTTCTCCAATTGCTCCTGTGCTTTTTGGAATTTCTCCAAGGTAAGTAGGAAGAATAATGATTATCCGGACCAGAATCATCCTCGTAGTGACGCGCTGACCTTTCCTCTTCCTCATCCTCCTCCTCGTTCTCCTCGTTAAAATCATCGCGAAAAGCTTCACGATTTCTCGAATAGCTTCCTCTGTGTCTATTCCTACCGAGTCTTCCCAATCTTGACCTATGACGATTCTTCCAATTATATCTTGAGGAAGTCCGACGTTTTTCTTCGTCGTGATACCAACCGTGATAACTTTCTCGATGACGTCTTGGATATTTAGATTCGAAAATTCTTTCCTGATAATTCTTCCCTCTAGGTCTTGGATATAACCTTTCCTCGTAAGATCTAATACCATCGTAATCTTCCTCATCGCCGTACTCATCGTCGTCTTGTCTGGAATCATCATCCATATCGTCGTATTCGTAATCCAATTCTCGCGACCAACTCGATCGTCTGTCAATCGGCTCATGATGATTTCTTCTGCTAGCCGATGTTTCATGCCTGTGTCTGTGCCGATGTCTTCTTGCCTCGAGAGCAGTATCCTCGCGATACCTTGATTCGACCGCAAGCAATCCGTACGCCATCAGCAATGCCAACAATAATAACAATCTCCCGTCGTTCGTCATTTCGTCTACCTAAGAATCGATACCAGCTAGATAGCTTACATTATCGGCATCATTATCGTCATAGATAACACCCACTCTTTTTCGAACGTCCTTTTATTTCTCTCTCTCTCTTTTTTTTTTTTTTTATCTTTGACAAAATTTCTCGAAAATCAGGAACACATGGCTGTCGAAATGCCGGTCCACGACGCACGATCACTATGATGATCTTTTCTCCACGATCGAGACATCAGTCAAACACGTGGCTACCGGCGGAACCGATTTAGCCACAAAAACCGTACGAAAGTTTTTCGAGCTTTGTTGATTCCTTTTTTCTGTTTTTGTTTTCTTGTTTTCTTTTTTTCTTTTTTTAATTTCTTTTTTTTATTTTTATTGTTTTTTCCTTTTTTTTTCTTTTCTTTTTATTTTGTTTGGTTTTTTTTTTTTCTTTTTTGTTTTTTTCTTCTCTCTCTCTCTCTAATAAACAGAATCCGTTTTCGAAGTATTCGCTCGAATTATTTCATTCATCGAAGCGTAAAATGTAATTTGGCAGAACTTCGTTTGTCCTTTTCATCGATCTCATAGCCGATTAGGAAGACGTTAAAGAGGCAAAAGGCTCGAAGATCTTTTCCCAGCGAGATTCTTGAACCCATTCGATCTTCGTTCGATCTTCGTTCGGCAAGAGAAGAGTCCGACGTTCGGTGATCCGAGACTCGAATCGTATCTCGCGGACCGAATGTCGCGGTCGACTGAGGCCAGCCGGAGCGGCCGGCGGCCTAAGAGATCGCGGGACGCACTGCGCATGCGTGCGAGTAATATTCGTCCCCATCTCTTTTCTTCTCTTTTCTCTTCTCTTCTCGAGTCTTCCTTACCTCCACCACCCCCTCCTACGCTTTCTTAGTCGTCTCCCTAGAGACTTTATCTCCGCGAAAGAGAAGAAGAAATGTTTCAGGGAAGAAACCAAAAAGAGTCTCTTTCGTCTTTGACAAAGAAAATGAAAAGGGTTGAAAGTTGAATAACTTTTGGCACTCTCGTTGATCTTTCATCTTTTCTCTGAGATAAAAATGAAAATTCGTTCGAGCAAAATTATTTCTTTTTCTTTTTCTTTTTCTTTTTGTTTTTTTTTTTCTTTTTTTTTTTTTTGGCATAAGAGGAACATTGTCTTCTTTCTATTTGCATATCTTTGTACGGCAACGGTTATCTCTTTATGGCATAGTATATGAAAGACAATGGACGTTTCTCCCGAGAATCGTAAGTTATTACGATGACACGGGCGTTTCGGGGTAGGAGTGACAAGGTATTTCCCTTTCCTGCACACCTGTTTCCTTATTAACTTTCTAATGATACTACGTAAATAGGAATAAAACGATAGCAGAAGAAAAATACTTCCGTGCGGTGACTCCGTAATGCGTCTTCTCGTCGGAGATATCGTAGCTTTCGTACTCGCGTGTGTGTGGCTTTGCTGCCAGACGTTCTACGTGACGCGCAGGATTTTCTGCGATCCCTTCTAAGGGGGGGTGGAAGGAGGAGGAGGAGGAGGTGGGGGGGAGGGGAAGGAGAGGTAACTGCGTGAAAAAATAACCATGGAGTATTAAATGCGAGAAAGGAAACGAGCAAACACGTCGAGAACGAAAGTTTGCGATAATTGTACGAAGTGATTCGTGAGAAGAATAGTTTATCACAGTAGAGACGTCGTAAGAAGACATTTTTTTTTTTTTTTTTTATTTAAAAACTATAAAACGTGATAGATTAAATTCATTTTGCAAAGAATTACTTTTATACAGATATAAAATCCATCTGGAATATTTAATATATTTTTAATCATTGAAGTCTTTCAAATATAAAGAGATAATAAATTTTGAATGATATTTTGTATGATCAAATAAAAATAATAAAAGAATGTTCTCTCATTTTTTACTTTTAATTAGTTTCTTAAAAATTTTTATATTTATAATTAAGATTTGAAAATATTATCAAACGACCACTGTTATATGTTTCAATTGGATTTTCCTTAAACTAATACGCGAGTAGTTTCGATTTTAACGACGACGTAAGGGCAGGACCGGTCGTCCTTTTGGTCCTCCATTCACTTTCGCGCCGCCATTCAGAGACGTCTCGACGTCGGCGGGCCGAAATCTCGGCCGCGGACGAAGAAAGAGAAAGAGAAAGAGAGAAGTAAAGAAAGATACGATCGGTAGTGCGTGCTCGACGGACTGGAGGACTGGTTCTTTCGTTCTGCAAACGGAGCTCGTGTCGTCGTGCTTTTTGTCGCCCTTTTAGGCTGGACACCGATAAATAAACACGCCTGTTTCTCCACCAAGAAAGATGGCTATGTCTGATTTGAAATCTCGATATTTTCTCTCTCTCTCTCTCTCTCTCTCTCTCTCTATCTATCTATCTATCTTTATCTTTCTCTCTCTCACTCTCTCTCTCTCTCTCTCTTTCTTCTTTCGTCCTACGATTTGTCCCGAAGAAATGTTGTTGCCTCGTCATGCGACCCTTTTCTCTCTCTTTCAACTACGACAGGAAGTTGTACACGAGGAAGGGAAAAGAAGGTGGAATTACACAACGTCCGCTACCGCCTTTCGATACTTCTTTTCTCGACGCCCTAAGGAAGAAAAAACGTTCGACCGTTCGTGTCTCTTTTATCGATCGACTGTCTCGATTAATCTTGAGCAATACTGATTTTTCAAACCCTCTGTTAAAACAGAAAAGTATATTTCGTATCGACGTTTAGTTTTTTTCGAGATACATAATACAGGCAAAAAATGAATTATCTGATATGAACTATTTCTAAATAAATTTTAAAATCTATTCCTATGTACGAGGAGAAACATGTATTATAATAAGAATTGTAAGATCATTCAAATGAAATCTTTAGATCCATTTTGTTATTAATTCTAATTTGACCTAAATTAACCTTACAGTCATTTATCAAAAGTTGTACAACGAAGACAGACTCATTAACGATAAAATCGAAATCAATCGTGAGCGCACGTGGAATCCGAACGTTTCATAGCGAGAACGTTCGTAATCATCATGTCGAATTAATGAGCCGAGATCTCGTAAGGTAAGAGAGAACTAACTGATAAATAATGACTCTCGAGTACGTTCCATTCGTTTAACGTAAAATTATCTTGGTTCATCGTTGCAGTAAATCCTCTGTTTAATATTCAAATATTCACGTAGAATCCTATTGATTGTTAAATTAATAGTTCCTATTATTGTTTCTGTAGTCATGAATATATCATAATTACAATTTCTACGGCATTTTTTACGAATAGGATATGCTATTACGATGTTCATTTTATTTCTTAGAATTGCGGCAAATTATTCGAGAGAATAAGTTCGTAAGAATAATTGTCATCTTTACATAGATTTTCTGTATAGATCTTATGTATAGATACGATACGCTCTGGGTTAACCGAAAATATTCGTGAACATGAAGGGACATCCGTCATGCGGATTTAGATTTAAAATGCCATCGCTTTCATGCCAAGAACCGTGCTCAAAGTACCAGATTTGTTCCACTTGGAAGTGGTTCGCTCTTTGCCACGAATATCTATCCATCAGTTTAAAGTTTTCCGCGTTTATGCATAGATCGTTTTGCAGAATGATCAATTTGTTGTTTCCTCTTGTTACGCTTTTCTAGTCATAGATATATCAAGAGTCCGTGAACCGAGGAGATAGTAAAAAGGAGGATAATTTTTTTTTTCAATAAACGCGACCATTCGACGGATCAACGGAATTATTAAGTGAGAAAAGTAATGAAAATGAATTTATCGTATCGTTCGTTGACACTTCCGACATCGATGCCGACGTCTCTTTTGTCCTGGTTCAAAAAGGTTATCGCAAAGATTAAGTTCATAGGCCTACGCAATAGACTCATTTTCGACTTTATTTTATATTTATTAAGATCGAATACATTATCCGCATACACGTTATCCACCTATTCCATATAACTATTATGAGTTTAGAAATAAAAATTATTTCAACTTCCTTTAATTCTTTTTTACGATAATCAAGAAGATTGAGGAGTCGCGAGGTAGACAATCAAGTTTTTGCTCGTATCGGAAACTTAATTGCGATCGTTGGATCCTTCATTTCCTTTTTGAAAAGGAGAGAGAAAGAGAGAGAGAGAGAGAGAGAGACAGAGATAGAAAGGGAAAGGACGGAGAAGAGATTTTACAACGATGATTGCGATCGCACACGTCGAAAGTAATTGCGTTGCACCTGCCTAGAAGGGACGACAAGGCAACGTCTGTACGTAACTAAGAATGATTGTGATAACCGGAATGGCTTCTTCTGTCTCTCAAGGACGTCTGTACTAGTCGAACGACCTTTGACACGGCGAGCTACGCTATCGACACCTTTTATGTTCTTCACAATCTTGCCTTTTCATCGAGCTTACCTTGAAATCTTTTTACCTTTCTTTCCAATGTAATTGTGTTCACGAAAAATTGTATATCTTTGTGATGTTATATAATGTCAAATAATATTTCTGATTATTTAGCAGGATACGTCAATTTTCTCATCATTCATAAAGCTTTATAATGTTTTGTAATTTAATATTTATTAATAATATCGAATAGAAATATTTTCTATTCATTTTTCAAGGTGAATTTGTATATTTGAGAAGATGTTGAGGTAGAAGAAAAATTCGGCAACATCTTTAAAGATGTTTCTTTCATAATAAATAACAGTTAATCCTATTTAGAATGCACTAAGGAAAATTTTCTAAACACGATTAGCGCAGGTATACAAGTTGGGATTTTTCAACTCTAGCATATTCGAGGACACGACTGAACCTGAGGATTCATCGATCAGTAGGATTACAAACTAACCATCCACGATGAATAGAAAATGAATGTGGTTAGCCGACATTCGAATTAGGAATAGAATAGATACTTTATTCGTAGGATTGTAAATAATTTTATTGTTTCGTTAACAAACGCAGTGCTCTTGCACCGTATTTATACATTTAAATATTATTATATCCTTTGGCTTAGATATGTGGCTTACATAAATTCCTATTATCAGCTTATTTGCATCTAGGACATTGAATGAGAGATATGTTAATTGTAGGTACAGAATGTCTTCGAAGTTTTGAATAATCAACAAATGAGATGCTTTAAAGTTGATTTAATAAAAAAAAAAAAAAAAAAAAAAAAAAAAAAAAAAAAAAAAAAATGAAAAAATTTAAGCGTTCATAGAAAATGTAAAACTTTGTAATCTTTCTTTCAAAATATACGTTCAAAGTTAAACTTAGCCAAAATAATTATCCGTTATGAAAGGAAGTATAATTTCTTATCTTTTAATTAGAGCGATCTCGCGCTAGAGAATTAATAATACGTTCATAAACAAATATGATAAGAGGCAATGTTAATTTTTTGATGCGAAACGTTCTCAATGCTGTTTACATGTTGTGTCCTATTAAAAATTAAATTATCTAGGATTCAAGAATATTATTTCCTCAATCGACCTAAAAATTTGATTAAGATTCTTGCGGTAAATTTCAATTAGATTATAATTTTGAAATAACAGCGATACACCGACGATAAAATCTTATGATTATTTTCAGGCAATTCGTATATATATCTCGTTTGATGAGATTCTCAATGAATCAAATGACATTTCTGTTAAATGTATAAAACGGTATTTGATAAAATTGTGCGTCTAATCCTACAAGTGAATTATCCCTACTGTTCGATTATTATTAATATTTATAAGCGAAAGGAATTGTGTATGTTGATTTAATTTTTTTAAACGACTACGACAAATTCGCAAGAATTCGTCCTCCGAAATCTTCCTCGTTTATTTTCGTTGCGCGTACGGAAAGGAAGAGGAAGATGACGATGAAGAAAAATACGAAGAATCAAGACAGAAAAACGTTTGACCTTGCAGTTGATTAAAAAAAATGGTAAGGAAAACGACGATCCTTCGATGAACGATCTTCAAAAATTGATCGGCGGTAAGCGAAATTGCGAGATCTAAAGCGTTCATTCTTGTTTGACGTCGTCCAGAATGGACGAAGATGCTCGCATCTTGTAAAGTTGTATTTTCTAAAAACCGCGATTGATCCTCACATAGATTGCTTCACAGCATCCTGACAAAAAGGAACGAAAGGAGCATCATCGCGGTCATCATCGCGACATTAAAGGTCGACGAACCGCTAGTCAAGTCGAGATTGTTCCAAACATCTTCTGGAACATCGACATAGACCTTATCAACGCCGATCGTTGTTATCAACTCGGAGAGTTTCTTCGTGTCGACTTGATCGCCGTGGCTAGACCAGATGGTCAAAGTTACATTGCCAAAGCTGGAGCTTCGATTTAGCAACGTTTTCATGGCGCTAATGTCGTTAGCAACGAGACCTGCTCTCACTGGATAAGTTATCGACTGAGAGACCTTATTCTCCGTTAAGGTTTCTATCATCTTCTGGATCTGTTCCGTCGTGTAATGGCCTTCGGTTATGTTGAACTCTGACCCATATCTGAAAGGAGAAAAGAAAAGATAACAAAAATGTTTTCACTGTGAATCTTTAGAAGGCGTTCCTCATATTGAAATCAATTTTTTGCTTTAGTAAAAATCTTTTGTCGAGTGACACCATTTGTGAGTCTCAACCTGTAAACCTTTATTCGTTACGTTCATTTCTTTACGTTTTCTATTTACGCAAATTCTAAAGACAGTAATATTTATCATCACGAAGCTATCTCTTGATTATTATTATTTTCACTCTCTCCTTTTTCTTTTTTTTTCTTTTTTTTTTTTTTTTTTCTTTAGATTAATGTTAATATCTTTTTATCTCTTTTTCTTCTTTTTTTCTTTCTGTTTTATTCATATTCTTATATATTACGCTAGTGAATGAGAATAGAGGTAAAGGTGAAGGTGAACGTAAACTCATTTGCGCTTATGTAGCTCAAGCGTATATGTATTTACTTTTTTATAATTCTTTTTGTACAATTTTTTTTGTCCCTCTTTGTCTCTCTTCCTCTTTCTATTGCTTTATCGCAGCATCATATTCCGCGGAAGGTGTGGAGCAAAGAAAAAAAAAAGAAAAGTAGAAAAAAAATATCAAGTAGTACTCGTTATACTTTTTTTTTTTTTTCTATAATTTTATAATTAATGATCACCGAGTCGGAAGTAACGTAAATATACTAAACAGGTTTAGACAAGGAAAATGAATTAACTCGCTCGAGCAACATATTTTTGGATTTACCTGGTCGTCCAACCAATAGATAGGATACTTTCTGGAAAAACCTCCATTGCACCGGTCAGGAAAGATTTGGAATCGAGTGGAATGGTTTTGGCGTCAACCGGTCCAGGTAGAATGTCGGCATTTAAGAACAAAGGATTGGTGAACTGAAAGACAATAAGAGAAAATTATTATTAATAAGCTCTGTCCTTTGTTCTCTCGAGTTCTTCGCAACAAATCTTTACATATTTTATAAAGTGTGTCGTTTGTAATCTACATAGTTATAGGTATATATAAAGAGGCATAAAAAAAATAAGCAAGTCACGGGATCGATACTACCAGCTATATGAAACGTTTTTCGTTTTAATAGTAATAGAACGTTTATATGTATATACGTTTTGTCAACTTGGAAAACTTTAGATTGATCTTTGTATAGAAATTGTCGACATTTCTCTGTTCTTGTTTCAATCGTATCATTTTTATTTTATCAATTTATTTTATAGATACATACCTTTTTTCGTTTTTCGGCAAGTATAGGTTTGCTGTGTTCGAAGGCATCGAGTGTCTTGAAATCAAGTTTTACGCCCTTGGTACTATTAAGAGCACTCGAGAGAAACTCTTCAAGAGAGAGATCGCTCTCTGTATCCGGTGGATGAGCCATTATCGGTATGTTCGTATTATTGCTAATGGAATTGTTCAGGTTGCCCATCACAACGTCGGCTTCGACCATCATGATGTCGTCTTTAAAAAAGCAACTACGTTTAGTGTATATTCGCGAAACACATATAAACTATGAGACTTGTAAATACTTAGAGAGAAAAAGAGAGACGTATATATAGAGATAGAGACGGAAGCAGAAGCAAGAGAGAAACGGAAAACGCGCACACGTGCAACGAATATCGATCATGCCTAAAGAGGCTGCGAGTCGACACGACGTTCGCGACTTTCTCTCTCCTTCCCTCTATCTCTCTATCTCTCTTTCTTTCTTTCTTTCTCTCTCTCTCTCTTTCTCTCTCTCTCTCTCTCTCTCTTCGCATTGTTAAACGAGACTTTTAAGTCGTCCTTAGGAGAGACGAAGCAAGAGAAAGAGAAGGGAAACGCCCTAACCCTTTTTGTTCCCCTCCATATCTTCGAGCTTCCATTGTCTACTTTAGAATTACTTTCTCGTGGTATATAAGTTTCAAGGTCAAATATTTCCATGCCTTCGATCAAGGCTTTCATCCAATGTTCTCCGTACCGTTTCGTTCGTCCAATATTTTAACTTTTTCGTACTGAACAGTGTATATATATATATATTATATATACGTACTCATGTGGAGTGGACACTTTAATAAGAAGAGCATATATATATATATACGTTGTCGAAAAATTGAGGGTCAGATACTAATAAATGTATCGAATATCATAAACGCTCTGTACGTCAGCGCTGAGTTGTCATTAATCCATTCCATTCATTGCGAACATATCATTTCACAAGTACCCCAGAGAGATAAGGTTAATTAAATGCAAATAGATTAATTATTACAAAATTTATTCCATTCATGATATTTCGAAAAGATTTAACGATTAAACGATTAAACGATTCTTGACAATATCGGAATGAATTTTTTGGAATTCTTTCGACGCAATATTTTATAAAGAAATCAAACGATTTGAGTATCGCTGAGGAAAGAAAAAATTGGTATTCGCTCGAAGCTCACTTTAAAAGTTTTTTATAGTTTTCCTTCTCTCTCTCTCTCTCTCTCTTTCTCTCTTTCTCTCTCATCACCGTCATCACCATCATACCATCTTTCGTATACGAAGAGAGAAATGAATACCGTGACGCGAATGCATTAATAGTCGAGTTTATAAGTTAACAAGGATACAAAAAGTGGACTATGGTAAACAAAGATTTACCATCATACCTCATGGTAATTACTTCGAGTTCAAATAGCCCGTACGCTGATAGGCATATCGACAAGCCAATAAATCGATTCTCTATCGTCGTCTTTGATAGCCGTCCTTCAACTTTTTAAAACTTTTTTTAAAGCCGCACGGAAGTAAAAGGAACGATAAAAAAGGAAAATGATCGTCGTCATACGGTATTCCATTTTTATCTCATTGGAATGATATTTTCGCGAGTCGATTAAAATATGACATTCTCTACAATGAAAATGAAACTCACCCGCGGTCAGTGCCTTAGACAAGTTAGCTTGGCTATTGACGGCATGAGCCCAGACGATCTTTGTCAGATTACCTTCGATCGTCGGGAAGAAGATCTTCGGGTCCGGTGCGATTCCACACATGGCGTATTCTGTAAAAGGAAGAAAAGAATTTCGCTTTTATCTTCCGCATCGTTCTCGCTTATCTATCTGTGTGCGTGAACATCTTCGATCTTAACTGGTAGTCGTATTTTGACCTGACTCGCGCGAGACTTGACCTTCCGCATTAGTATTCTCGAGACCCCTCGACCTTTGACCCAATATTCGACAGAGTCGCTCCATAATTGAACAGACCGAGAATTCCTCGCGGCACGAAGCTCAGAAGGACTTGGGGTGGAGAAGAGAATCTCGTAACTCGACTACCACCACATCGAGAGAACCTTCTCATTGTGTCCGAGAACTCAATCGATAATCACGCTTGTTCGTTACCATCCTTATCAACTCGTTACTCTCTTCAATTATTTTTCTCCCTTTTTTTTCCCCTCCTCCTTCCTTTTTACTTATTCTATATCTTATACTCTACATAGGGGAATAATATCGATGTCACTTTATATGATTGCGATTAAATCATTTTTTTCTTTTTTTTTCGTATTCTGATTCGGATGGAATTAGAATGGAAAATCATTTGAAATGAATATTTACCGACAACGGGAATAATCCTTTTTCTAAGCATCCCTTGAAAGGATTAGTTTTAGTGAAATAACGTCACGCTTTTGACACTTGAACTTGAACTTGATTTGCGTATAAACGTTAACGAAGTATCAGAAAAGCCTAGGTTTTTGAGGCTTTTGACCTGCTTTTCATTTGCATTATGTATGTATGTATCTACATATTTACATCGCTGGTTCGCTTTGTATGATCTCTCAGTATTGTTTCTCAGAAGAGTATATTACCTACGGCTCGGGATGTTCTCGAGAATAGTAATTATTATAATTCTCGTTCCAGTTCCCGATTGCATGGACGAAAGTAATTTTTTTTTACCGAACTTTCCGACCGCGTAATGATTTCTCTCTTTTCTTTTTTATTTTTTTTCTTTTTTTTTTTTTTTTTTTGCTTTTCGCGAGGAAGACTTCACTTTGCATTTAAACTCCTGAATTTTTATTTGATGTAAAAAAAAAAAAGAAAAAGAAAAAAAAAGAAAAAAGAAAGAAGAGGAAGAGAAGAGAGAAAGGTCATGCATTAAATATCTTCAGAGTAGCACAAGACGGAGCTTTTGAGTGACATTAGGATATGAAAAATCTAACGAGTTTCAAAAGTAACACTTGTGAAACCGGTCAACTAATCCGTATTATATCGTAATAAAAATAATGAATATTCAAAATAACAAAAAGTACTGCTTTTTCTTTTTTTTTTTTTTATCTTTAAATTATTATATATCCTTTAAAATAATCGCAAGGAAAAAAGTGACTATCAAAATTTTAGATTCAATAAGGAACACGTTAAACTCAAATAGAAGGAAAATCATTTTCAGAAATTTATTAGTGAAATCAGATGACACGCTATTTTCCTATCGATCGATTTACCATGCATAGAATAAAATCCCAAGAGATTCTAGAATCTACCCCAAGAAATTCAACCCCCTTTTATCTACCCCTTTGGCACCCTTTAAGTAACGATTACCGATATTCAACATTCGTCGATATCGGATGCACGTTCTATCGTATCGGCTCAGCGTCACAAATTTCAGTCAGCTGTAGTTTCTCGACCTAGTCTCTTCAGTACACCCAAACCTCAGCTCCGAACTACTCTCTCAGCTTTATCGCATACAAGCAAAGAAGAATTTTCCAAAGTAGAGTTGACTTCTTTGTATTAGAAGATCGCGTAAAACGTCAGGATTGTTCAAAGCGTATATCATATATCGTCTAAAAGGCTTTACGATTGTTCTTATATTTTTAATAACGATAATGCACGTAACGTTTCAATGATAAAATAAAATAATCATCGTATTTAATATGTCACGGGAAAAAAGTCAAGCAAGCATTACATTGAAATTTCGTGTGATTTCAATACCAATGAAAATACTCGGATATAATATCAGGATTTTTAACTAGACTCTTTTTTTTCGGTTATACCGAAGGATCTTCATCCCTGGAATAGTAACCATTCATATTCCCTTTTCCCCCTGAGAATAGATCGGTACGAAACACGTTCCCGCCACAATGGCCACGAGTGACCCGTTTCCGGTCCAGCGGTCACGCACAGTGTTCTCTCTGTGAACGACGACCGGTCTCTCTCGCGATGGAAAACGTGAGAGAAAGAAGGGGAGAAAGAGAGAGACCGGTCTCTCCATGGCTTTTTTCCTATCGTGCGATTTCTAGTGCTGTTCGCCACTCTGGGATCCGTGCGAACCTTTCCAAGACATTGCGTTGAGAGACTATAAAAAGAGAGATAGATATAGAAAGAGAAGTTAGTTCGTTCTAATTACTAAAACAATCGGTAGTTTGTCACAAAGAGAAATCGAGTTCAAATAAAATCGAGTACCAGTAAAACTCGCATTCTATTTGAAAAATAATGATCTTAAAAAAGAATTTGGCATGGCATTATTTTTTTCTTTTCTCTCAAACAACTCGAAGAATCCGACAAGTAAATTAGAACGAATCATTTCAAATGAATCTTCTCCTTGATCCTAGAGTTCGGTGAAAGCGATTCTCTTGCTTCATTATTTTTACTCAACGATAGCACCAGTTAGGAATTAGCAATGCCAGCGGAATACACTTTTCCAATTCGTACTGTCCAAAGTACAGTTCGCTTTCATAGTACTTTCAATGGGAACAGAAGTACCAGAGAAATCGGTTCGCGTTAATTCAAAATGCATCTTACATTACAAGATGCTCTCATTCCTTCGACTCTTTGTTTACTCTAACTTTTGAGCCGATGGATAAGCCAATTATAGTAGAAGGTCTTTTAAAATGCTTCTCCTTTCTTTTGTACGCTTCCTCGTTGTTCTTGCTGATAAGGGATTTCTTTGATCATGAAAAGTTCTCTTAACTTTGTATACTCAACGATTTATATCTAATCAACAGATTTATATCTATCCAATAGTTAATCTTCTCTCTTAAGAATAGTTATATCTCTTCTCTTAAATTTCTTTTTTTTTTTTTCAATTACGATCGTGTTGTATAATACCGATTGCAAATAATCGTATATTTCTCATTTTCTTTAACTTTTCCACGAACAATTTTATTCGACTACTTGACTCCGGATCTTACTAAAGGAGCAAGGTATCGCACTCACATGAATATTCAATTTCACCGATTTACTTTCTACTCAAACGAAAGCAAGAACGATCTATCTATGCATAAGAATGTTAACCATTAACGATGATTACTGCAAGAGTTTAATAAAAGTCAGACTTAGGAACGTTTCACGTGGAAAATCCTTTTTGAGAAGATTCACGAAGGACTAACGAAGAATATTCTTACTCGAATAGTTTACATTTACGTTTGTTTTTGAAAAAGTGTGAAGTTGTTTATACTCTTGTTTCTTAATGCTGTAAATCGAGAGAAAAATAGAGCAAGATAGATGATAAATATGTAAATCGATTGGTGTACACATACCAAACGGATAATAATCGCGATATATGTATGTATGTACGTAGTATACCAACAAGGTGTCGGATTCTTCTGCGAATCATCGGCTAAACTTGTCGATGTTTGAGATATTTATGACTGATATTTCCGTCCTGTACAATGAGACGTTGCGTCATGCAATTTACATTATGTCGCGAAAACGGAAGTTGAATATTATAGACCAATAGATGATACATTAATGTTCCTTGAAAATTATTCTTAATAATTTTTTAGCAATTTTACGTGGCCATGTCCTTCTATTCTTAAATATACGACGTTGCTTAGTTCGTTCCTAATTATTGATCGTATACATTTTATTTATTTTATTTCGAAATATGTATAGATCGTGAGAATTTTTCGACAGGTTCTTTTCTCTGTAATAATTTAACCTTATTCATGGGGCATCAATCTCTGTTTGAGCTTGACAAGCGTAAGGAGAATGAAGAGCATAATAATCTTTGTAAAGAGAATGGTCAGAGAAAGAATATAAAACAGTCGCTACTAAACAAGGCCCATGAATTCTAATGCTTCAAAGAAAATAATGAATTTCTGTCACGCAAGGACGCTACCGACTGATACATCATTCGAGTTTGACACAACCGTTGGAAATATTCGTCGTTCGAAAGGATAGATTTTCAAACGGATATAAGTTACGATCTCGGATAGATTTAATATTCGTTTAAAAATTTCATTTTGTACCGCAGATGAAGGTATGACATCGATATCGACTTTCAACGTCTCGAAACGGAACATAATGCGATATAAATCGCGCAATCGTAATGTAAACGTGACTTTCTTGTTGCGAGATTGCCAAACTATACATACAGTAATAACAATTTGTCACTCATTGCTTTCTTCCATTGGAGAATTAAACGCCGAAGAAATGAAGTTAGTAACGCTAATATATATATATATATATATATATATATATATATATATATATATATATATATTTTCATAAGTTGCAAGTAATTATCTCGGGAGTATAAATTAATACGTAAACAAACTGTAGGACGTTCCAAATGTTTGATATAATTGAAAAAAGTTGTAAAGAAAAAAGAAAAAAAAAAACAAGAAAAGAAAAAAAAAAGAAAATATAAGAAAAATATTCCATCGTATTTTAGAGATACGATATTATATTTTTATGTTACGTTTGTTTGTATTGTTGTTGTTGTTGTTGTTAGTCTTCTCGTTAAAAATAGCACACGAACATTTTGTAAAATGATTCCCCAATGAATATCACGGTACATCGAGCGATGACTCAGTTTATCGGTGGTGAAATAAGAGTAAATCACTGTGGACTCGTACGCAAACTCCTTTCGTTGGATTTACGATAAAAAAAAAAAAAAAAAGAAAAAAAAAAGGACAAACAAATGAAACAGATATTGCACCGCGTAATGTATAATAAGCCGAGTTCTTGCGTCACACGTTTTATGGATAATTCGATTGGAAGTGTTAACAAACCGTACGAAATTATCCACAGAATTGGTATGTACCTTCTCCGCTTGATTTCCATTTCGTCGATTATTCGTATCGCCCTTTTCCGGACCATAACGAAATAATACGAAACGAACATTTTCGCAGATGGATACGTATGTAAAAAAAAAAAGAAAAAAAAGAAAGATCGTATCTCGTTTCGTCCATTCTTAATATTCGAAAATTAAAGTCACGCACTTTCAACTATTAATCTTTTTTTTTCTTTTCTTCAAATTTAATTACTCAATTGTGAGATATACCATTTGTAATAGAATTAACGATCGGTCGCGAGATAGCGTTTGTTTCTTAATTAGAGTAACCAGTCTATTCTCGTTAACGTCCGTGATGTTTGTCTTACTTCTTTTTTTTTCTTTTTTTTTTTTTTTTTCTTTTTTTTAGATTCATAAAGAAGAAAAGGTCCGACCTACATCTAGGTATAACCGACACTCTTTAAAAATATGGGAAAAGGAAAATGTATATATCAACCGGCTTATCGATTTTATAATACCTTTCATTTGGAAATTTTACCTTGAACGAACGCAAACGATTTTCAATAATGGCATTGCGATTTTTTTAATAAGAATTATGAAGCTTCGGTTAAACGCTATCGGTTTGGTCGGTTATTACCCATCAATTTCATTATACATGCGATCATAAAATCGATTCGACATTATCGAAATTTACATTTCTCGTTCTTCCTTTCATGTAATTTATCTATTATCAAAGAAGCTTCGGGCATGTATACAATGTGTCACTTTGAAGACGATCGATCTCTTACAGAAACGTTCAGAAATCTCTGAGGTGAGTTATCCTAAGCGATAAGAACATAAACAGACGCGTCGTCAACGAATTCCACGACGTATCTTTGTATGTACGATAAAAGTAGAAACGCCGAAGACGCGTTAGAAACGCCTGACGCTTATTCCCGTGGAACTTTTTAACGAGACCATTTCATTCTTGGTAGACGAACGAGATCGATAGATAGACCAGCTACGACAAAAATAGATAAATGAAATGCATTAGAGCATCGACGAGTTTATTCGACGTCAACAAGCAATAGCGTAATCGGACGATCCTTGAATTTCCATGTCTTTTCGGCCGATCGACCTTTCTTCTGAGTTATTGTTTGCTCTCACGAGACGACAACAATAGGATTAGCATCTCTAATAACAGAATATTACTACTCTAAAAATACAAGAAATTTGTATTTTCTTTCTTTTTTTTTTTTTTCTTTTTTTTTCCTTTTTTTTTCCTTTTCCACTTTTCAATAGTAACGTCATATTGTGATAATAAATAATAAATGTTCTATCGATATTAATTATTTTATCTCATTGCGAGGCAATAGTTTTTTTCCTCTCGCGAGTTATTTTCACGTTTAGAGTTTTGAGTGGCTATAGGCAAAGTAAAAGCTAAAAACAGTTTATTTTCGTACTATTTTCGCAAGGCATGTAACTTTCACGTTTTACGCGACCACGAACACGTTGCTAATCTATTTTTACGAAAGAAGGAATGAGACTAGATCATAAGCTCTTTTTTTTTTTTTAACCGTACAATGTAACGAGTTTCTAAAAACACACACACAAAAAAAAAAGAAAATCATTTTCGTCAAGAACGTCATCGTTTAAAGTACACTTTTCTAAGGTAGTTTGTAACTCGAATGAGCTTGAAGTTTTCCGATCAGTACGAACGAAAGCTATTGTACAAATCCTTTGTTGCCTTGAACTTAACCACCATAGGTCAAACTTATAAGTAATTTCACGAAGTTACGTCTCGTACGACTCGCATTAATAACGCCATATATGTACTACTATGTTAGATCGTGAACGAATCTTAGAAGAATCGTTTGAACATTTTTTCTTTTTTTTTTTTTTTTCTTTTTCCTTTCTTTTCTTTTTCTCTTTTTTCCTCTTTCGCTTTGAAAACGGTGGATACGAATTTTCTACAAGATCGAATTTAAACGACTTCTTCGTATTTTCTCGACGTAGAGATTTCGCGGATCTTAATAAAAAGCTGGTGAACTCGGGAAAGAGAAATGAAGAAAAAGAAGAAAAAGAAGAAGGGGAAGAAGAAGGAGAAGAAGAAGAAGAAGAAGAAGAAGGAGAAGAAAAAAAAGAAGTAGGAAAAGAGGCAGCGAGGAATTTTATCGTTCGTGAAAAATAAATTCACCGACCGCTTTTACGAACCGTTAAAGCGTCGTGCTTGTTAACATGATTTGAGTAAAAAATGCTGTTCGACGTTATGCATACGATTATATTTAATCGTCTCGTCGTTAAAGGAAATCATTCGTTCTTCATTTTTCTTTCTTTAAGATCGAAATCTACCCTATGATTTTTTATGACGATATCGTCGTTTATTGCACCATCCTTGCTTGCATAGTAATCGCGAAGTGGAAGCTGTACGAGGAAAGCACGTACACCGAATATATCTCCCCTTCTCCTTGTTTCCCCTATCCGTTATAACGCATATTAAATAAATATTTAACGAACAAACACGAAAGGGACGTCCATAGTCGTTATATTACTTACGTAAAAAACAAACTCGAATATTTCGGGTCATCGTCAAAATGTTAATATTACTAATTATTCTTATTATTAATTAATTACAATTTTTATTTGTAATTTTCCATTCAATTGCATCCAATGATCAAAAATGTAGCGATAGGTTTCACTTCACGAATCAATAATATATTTCTTTCATAGCTATAGTAGATATCTCTTTATTTAACTTTTTTCTTTCCTCTTCTCTTACCTCTGGCCTCGTTTAACGACAAAAATGTACAAATTTAAAATTACACTCGGAATGAATTTTTGCGAAACATGCAACTTTTAAATTTTCGGATCTCATCATAATGTTTCTCACGGATTGAAATCGATTAGACACCATTTTTGCTGCTGGAATTTTTTTTACAATCAAAGAGAAAGAATAAAAAAAAAAAAAAAGAAAAAAAAGAAAAGAGAAGAAGGAAGAAAGAGAAAAAAAAAGATATAAGTTTCACCCTTCGTAAAATTTTTTTTCTTAGCTCGAAACTTACGTATCAACGCCAGGAACGAGAGAATCTTCGCGAGCGTTGTACAATCCATTCTCTTATTCGAGATTCGAAAGTTATTGAAACGTTGAGATGGATTTCAAGAAGATAGGAAGATAAACGTAAAGGTGAACACGGAACCGGCGCGAAAGCTTGTGTGAGCTCGATACGACACGCCCGGTCAACTCGGCAGCCACGAAACGACTGAACTCTCTCTCTCTCTCTCTCTCTCTCCTTTCTCTCTCTCTCTCTCTCTCTCTCTCTCTCTTTCTCTCTCTTTCCACCGCGTGTCTCTCGTCGAGCAATCGTCGTTGAAATCCTGGCGCGCAGACGATAATACGAGCGTTCTAGGCGCGTCGATCGTGCGTTTTACCGATACTGCCAACGTCACCGATGCTTTTGGCATCTGTATACCTTTTCTCTCTCTCTCTCTCTCTCTCTCTCTCTCTCTCTCTTTCTGTCTCTCTTTCTGTCTCTCTCCCTCTTTAATCCTTCCCCTCTTTGTACTTCCCCTATGAGGTTATCTACCGCGCACACGTGTTCAACCGGGTTCCTCTAGGGCCACCCTAAACAGAACCCTAAGCGATACGCTTAGCGTCCGGTTGGTTTTGAGAATGCGAAGGGGGCGAGGGAACGGTTTCTCCGTGGCACGTAAGTACGTGCCATGAATTTCGATGTTTCTTAATGCCACGAGTAAAAGGCAGACGTAATGTCTTTGTTAATGGAAAAATTTGTATCGATCTTAAACGTACGATAAGAATGGAAAAGCTGTTACGTTTCGTAATCGTTTGTAAAATTCAGTCGCAATTTATTTCGCGATTCGTGAAGAGTATTTTAGTTTGAGAGAACGTCAAGAAAGAATAAACCGTTGACACGTGCTTTAGTATGAGTCACGTGTGACTCACAAGGACTTATATAAATTAATCGCAACGATTAATTGCATTTAATCGTTGTACTCTTGCAATCTTTTCTATTATGTGCCAAGAAGTGTCATCGTAGAGAAAGAAAATAAATCTTTTCTTTTTTTTTTTTTTTTTTTCCCAACCTCTAACCCCCCTCCCCCCCGCCCCTGAAAAACGAATAAGAACAAGGAAAAAAAGGAAATAGTACAATCACGGATAGTATAACGAGAACGAGAGGATGAGAAATTTTCGAAAGAATCGAGGTTTTTTCACGAGGATGAAGAAAAAAGAGCTCGAATGGCAGATATCGATATACAACACAGGGATTCTTTTCTCTGTATGAACGTTTATGTATGGAATGGTTATCTTTCCGTCACTGAAGTTCCCTCGAGGCATCGCATGTGTCCGACATCTGCGATTCGAACGAATTGTACGGAGAAAGGCCAAGAGGCAGACAGATATTTGCCGACGACTACCGAGCAAAGTATCGGAATGAACTCCGATAGATAGTTTCGATGGATTACGAGTGAACTTAATCCCGTTCCGCTTCGTTCTTTCCTACCACCAGCACGATTTACTCTCGAACCTTTCTTGTGCCTTACCGGAACAGATATTGTCTCTCTCTTTCTTTCTCTTTCTCTTTCTCTTTCTCTTTCTCTTTCTCGTTCTCTTTCTCTTTCTTTTTTTCTCCTTTCATTCATCTCTTCGATCGAAATTGAACCGATTCATTCTTTAGAATATTTTTCCTGGAAAAATTTGTTCAAAGAATATCTTAATATATTAACGAGATTACTTCATTAATTTTATTCTTATTAGATATTATACTATTATTAGAATATGAACGATATATAATGATAAATATATAAAATAAATGGACAATGTAGATTTTGTTACAAAGAGACATGTAAGAATTTAATTTGTTCTTGAAAAGAAAAGAAAAACAAAAATAATAATAATAATTGAATATATTACAATAGATGTGAATTAAAAATTTTTAATATTAAAAATGTGTAGAAAATAGAAACTATAATGTGTACGAGTGTCAACAAATAAAAATATATATATTAAATAAATAAATTTTAGAGAATTCAAATAGATTGAATTCTCTCGCCGAAGAATTTGTAAAAATGTTCCGGACAATGTGTCGTGAATCGATTTTGTTATTTAGTGTGAGACGATCGTTTGACAACACCCCTATGTATTCCTCATCGGTTCTTTTTCGTAAAAATTGCACTCGTGCATGCGACATGTGTTAGACGCCGTATTCGAACCCTAAACACAAGTGCGACGGTAAGGGTCGTTCCAAGAAAAAAAATAGAAGGGTTAAACATCTGTCGAGGGATTCATTGATCGGTCAGAGTAAAGAGTAAAAAAAAGATTGAGTGCGATTTTTTTCCTTAATTGCGTACGAAACCCTTCCGTGATATACGTATAAGTAAAAATGAAAAATTATGTTATTTCTTTTTAAAATTAAGGTACGTTCAACTTCTCATTTAGTTAAATAATCTTGATTTATTTCGAGAAACTTAAATATATTGTATCCTTGGGGTCGTATAGTCCAGAAAATAAAAGAGGAACATGTTCAACGCGCAAGACCTTAGCTCCCTACGGTTCAATGAATTCATGAATAAGAAATACGGCATTTCTATGAAATATTCGACTTCAACTATTTGGATTTAATATGTCAATATTAGTCATGCGACAGTTATCGCATTTCACATATATACGTATTTAGTTTTATTACTCCGTCCTTTACGAGCATTGGATTTCTAGTTCTCATTTAACTAAATTGTACGTCGATTTATTCTTCGTCTAGACTAAATTCATTAAAAAGAAAAGAAAAAAAAAAAAAGCATAAATTACTTAATTTCAGTGAAATATCGTCGGTAATTTTCTTTCTTTTCTTTTTTTTTTTTTTTTTTTTTTTTTTTTCTTTTCTTTTATTATCGAATTTCTCGAGAGACACCTGAGGATAACGTACGAACAGCGGTCAGATAATTTCATAGAAAGCAGACAAGAGAGTTTCCAATGGGAATTCTTATATGTCGTCGTGTAACAATGCAAGAAGGAATAGACAAATACACTATAATTGTTCGTGACTATGTTCTGGTATGACGGGTCAATCGTATTATTAGGTCAACTTCGCATTAGTCGTCTTCGCGCAATTTTTGTAGGAGGGTGTCTTATTTATTTAACAGCATAATTGCGGCCCTTTTATGCTCTTTAAAGTAGCGATCGTGCTCCCGCGGTTGCAGGAAATCGTTTTATAAAAGCTTCTCATTTGACCATTTGCAATTAAATCGATCTATTAAAGTAACGACGACAAAATCGTGGATCTAATTTCTTAATTCGGCCATTAATATGTTTTACGGAATGTAGCGTGTTCGTCGATTTTTATCTCAATTATATTATCGCATGTGATATTATCGCATGTGATATCATCGCGATTATGTTAAGCCTTTTTAACAATTATCTCGAACGAGCTTCGAAAGAGCTCGTTACGTTTTAGATTCTTTTTCATTTCTTTTTCTTTTTTTTTCTTTTTCTTTTTTTTTTTTTTTTTTTTTTTCTTTAACGAAGAGAAAACACACTAGCTTTTCTCTAGATGAGACAGTTCGAAAAGTCAGTTTCCATTCGTTAAATGGACCAAGCTAAGGAAGAAAAATCTTCCTTGACTCGTTAGAATCTTTATGATCTTTGATATTTCCAAGGAGAAACGAAGATAGGAAAAAGAAAAAGAACTAATCTAATAGTGAAATTCTAGCTTCTTCATACATCTTATATATTCTTTGATACAAGAAAACATTGCGGCCATTTTTCGTTTAGCAAAATAAAAGTTTCGTTTCTACTTGAGAAGGATAGAAGATAAAAGGAAGAGATTCGCAAATATCGATTTTAAAAATATTGTTAGGAATTGAGATAAGCGGTTGGTCGAGATAATTAGACGCGCCAATTTTCGTTTATACGCTAATACATTTAGGAAGCCCTTTAACATGATGAGAAAACAAAGCCGCGAAACTCGTATTAGGAAATGAAATTATGGAGTCTCTCTACTACTATATCTCCCTTTACACTTTTTCATTAGATAACTTGAATTCGTTACTGAATAATTAAAAAAAAAAAAAAGTTAAATAGAAGGTAATTGATTTAGTCGATTAGTTGCGATCGTGTTAACCGTTAAATAATTGCATTTGCGATGAATTAGAATTGAAGATGAAGCTTTTACATTGTATTTTAATATTAATAAAACAATTAATGTGATTAATGTGTTCATTTCAAAAGAAAATTATAATAGATTGAAACACGAGAAATCTTTAGTCTCTGTCTTTTAAAAAAAACATTATTATAAACAAGTCGACTTGTTCATAATATTTATTTTAATTATTAACGCGATAACGAAAGTACAGAGTGTAAAGTACACTAATTTTTTTCTTAAATCATCGATTTTATCTATTTTTTGTTAACTTTTGCGCAGTTATTACGAAGCGTCCTTCATGTAAAAAAGAAAAAGAAAAAAAAAACAAGTTATTTGTATGGTGCAAATAAAAACATTAATAAAAAAACAACTTTAAAGAAAAGAAAATGTGAAAATGTGAGAATAATATTCAGTTTCAATAAATAACGATTTTGGCTTGAAATCATAATGAAGATGAATGAATTATTAATTAATGCTCATTCACTTCTCGTTATATCGACAAATGAAATAACAATTTAAATGTTATATCGCCAAGAAGATATACTGTTTCATTCGGAACAACGTTCATTGAAAATAATTACTTGGATCATGGAATAGATAACTATAATTATAAACTCGGTTTTAAATTACTTGTTAAAAATTAAATGCTTTTAACAAGTAGTGCAAAATTGTATCTTGCTTATTTTCGATTCTTTGTTTTTCCTTTTTCCTGATGCAATTAAGCACTCGCGATATAAATGTTGTTCGCTTTTAAAACAAAGAGAAAACCGAGTGTATTTCTACGTGTATTATTTAACATTCTCTCAAAGCTACTAGTCGTATAGTACAAAGCTCTCGAGCGTTCAAGCGTTAAAGCTTTTTGTGCGTTCTTAAATATTCGATAACTTCAATAATGGTCGCATCAATAATCCTCCGTTTTTCCATCGTTAAATTTCTGTCGTTATCGACGATAAAAAAAAGATAGGTATTTAGGTTGACGTTCGAGAAAAAGCAAGACAAGTTTTGTATTTAATGAAAATAAATGATAAAGAGGAAGAAAGATCTGTTATCTTGTCATTGTTGTGCAATGTAAACACATTCATTTATACGATAAGCTGTTTAGGTGCTCTCATTTCGAGAATACCTATATGAAGAAAGATATTCTTGTCGACATACTCGTTTCTTTCTACACACACACACACACACACACACATATATATATATATATACATATATATGCTTATGTGTATTCGTTGTTATTAATTCGAGATTTTATTTGCTCGTTTGTTTAATTATAATTAGAGACGATACTATATAAGAGCAAGAGAGAGTGAGAGAGTGAGAGAGAAAGAGAGAAGTAAAGAGAGAGATTCGTCGTGGTCGTTTCGATCCATTTATATAGCATCGTTCGTTTACCTACATATTTAACATTCCGAGTCAACAATTCTCGGTGCGAGCGACCGCATCGCAAAGCGCGCAAAAGTCTGTTTAGCAGTCGAGGTCACGTTCCATTTCTATATAGAGAGAAGGTGACAGACTTCGAAGATCAAGAGAGTAGTAATAGCAACGTGTCTGACCAATTAACGAGTCGATCTAGTGCACGTATCTACTCGATCAGTATGCTTGATCACTATGGTCTTCAATTATTTGTTCAATGACGTTAATAGGCGAAAGTCATTGTAAATGTCTCTCAAGATCTAATTTGATACTATATGGCACAGAATATAAAATCAGAAGAATTTTTAGAAGGTGAACTTGTAACTTAGTGTTGATATTTTATTCTTGTATTAAATTAGCTGTCATTGAGTATAATTTAAAGTGAAATTTGAGGTTAGGTTTGACAAAAATAATTGCACTTACTATATCTACAGATGTATATTTAAATCGATCGTTTGAATATATACAAGATTCACGTATAGCTAAAGCAAATAGACAATGCAAATGCAAAATATTTCTTTCATTCTGTTTTAATATTTCTTTGAAAATATTGATATGATGAAGTATAATTTTGTTTTAAATGAGAGTCATTTTATAACTTAGTACTATATAAAAATTAATTAATTTATTGTAGTTTTTAAATTATCTTTTAATTATAAAACTTACCATAAAGTTAAAAGTTTTATAAATAAGAAGAGTGAAAGGTATATACACGAGGTTTTAGCGATAGTGTCTTCGAGTGATACTAAATTATTTAACGGAGAAGTAACCAAACGATAGTAGTTGTAAAAGTTTCGTTCATATACTATCTAATGGTATAGAAATACTCTGTTAAAGGCTTCTCTGTCGATATTTTTACCTGTTACATTTTAAATACATGACGCATATAATAATTATCAAAGTTAGATATTTGTATTTCGAATTATCGTAAATCGTTGTATTTAAACTTTTCGTTTTACATATTAAATTTTAAATCCTAATAACTTTAAAAAGATTAAATGTTATTATTAAGTTAAATTAATATTAAGAAAGAATGTCGTTAATTTTGTGAATTAATGGAATATGTAATATTTTCCTTTTAAAGAATATTTATTTATATTTTAAGCCTGATATGTAAATAATTAAAAAAGGTACGTTCAATTGATATAATTGCGAATTTTTACTAATTTAATATTTACATAGATATATAGAAGTAATCTACTCTGTCAACTGCGAATAAGTTGTTCAAGGAGTTACTCTAATGATCGATCGTAGGTAACGATATAGCAAAAAAATTTTTTCACATTTTTTTCTCTGTAATTTTCACGAAACAAAACGAAACTAAACAGATAATTTGATGATATAGTAAAAATGATAGATTTTTTTTTTTTTTTATTAACATTTAAAACGAATTACAAAAATTTATGAATATTTTTTATGAGTTTTCCAAGAAAGATGACTCAAACAGAAACATTACACTTTATCATATACAGCAGTGATATGCAAATTGTTTGTATTATGTTATTTTCTTTAACCATGATTTTTTTTTTATACAAAAATTCACACATATGATTCCGAAAATTTTATACTTACATTAGTAAAAATACAGAGATATTAAATTAATTATATTTTAATTGAATGTAAAAAAGACAAAAAAAAAAAATAAAAAAAGAAGAAATGAAATTATTCTTATGCACAAAATTTAGGACAACGTCGCAAGCTTTAATAACATTTATTCTTTTGTACCTTCTTTACGCGATATTTCATTACAGTTTGTACACCTTTGATATATAATATGATTGCACTACACCATAGATATGAACATTTCATTCAATCGTTTCCATCTATCTAATAAAAATAAGTATTAATATTAAAAAAGTATAGTCTTAACCATTGTATATTATGGACTACTAAAAAAATGTTTGGCACAATTTTTCAGATTCTTTAACGTGTCATGTATTAATTTTATGATGAAGAAAATATCATGATTTATCAGACAAATCTATCAAATTATTACTTTTATTAAAATGGTATTATTAATAATATCCATTTCATTATTATTTTAACAAAATTTATAAGAACAAGATACGATTATAATATAAAAATCTATTATGCGATCGATTAATCTTCTTTAATAACCTATATAAATCCTTCTATTACATATATATTTTTTAATATCGAATTTTAGAAAATGCATTTTTAATATTGAAATCTAGAAAATATTTTGTTAGAACATTTATAAGTCTTTAGAAATTCCATATAGGAAATAATATTCGAAACATAACATTGCCTTTCTATTTTTCTCGTTTTTCTTTAGTTAAAAATATAATCATTACAATTAAAACAATTTACACAGCTGTCAGTCTTAAATTCTATCATTTTATGATTTCGATCAATTAATTTCTATGTTAGGAATGTATTCAAATGTGAGGAGTTTATCGTCTTTACATTATTTGTAAAATCCTCGTTCAAAGGAAATGAAAAGAAAATGAATCTCATTGGCCTTAAAGAATGTAAATGTTCGACGATGGAAAGATATTTTTCTGAAATTCAAAATTCTTTTCCTTTTTCGTCTACTCTCCACATTCTTTCTCATAAAAGTATAAAAATATTTGACTATGTATATATATATATATATACATATATATATATATATTTATATACTTTTCCGATTCAAATGAGGACGGTAATTCTTCGATAAGGATAAACTTTCCTATCGGTCAATTAAATCGACCTCGATCAAAAAGCTACCTTCGAAACATATTAGACGGATCTTCGATAATTGACCGTAAAATTCGCCCAAGATTGGCACAAGTACAACTTGTTGGCGGAGAAAAATATGGAAGCCCTTCAATAGAGTTTTGGATACAATCGACGATCACTTCTAACGTGACTGTCTTCATCGTGATTCGGTTTATCTATGTAAATCGATTCTGCAGTCTTTTCCGAAGAAATATTTGTGATATTCAATTTCAGTTGTTCCTGTAAAATACGATAAAGTTAGATTAATCATTATGAGATTAATAAAAAAACAAAAAAAAAATTGATATTCTATATCAAGTTAATATTAATTAATTAGTTATAAATCACTCACGTGATTTTTGTGAATTCTTTTCATGATGTGATATATGAAAATAGAGATAAGTATTAACATTCCCAGTATCATTATGATCACACCAATGTAGAAAAACAAGCTTGATATTAGAAGGAAATATTTCAGATCGGAAGCCAATTCTTTAGGAATGTTCACCTTCATAGAGAACCAGAATATAGGAAAGTATGTCTTGGGGACGTTATTGAAAAGCCTGGAAAAGAGATGTAAAGTTGATGAAATATTCTTAATCGTCGTTCAATCAAATCGATTAACTTTCAAACGATTTCATTTTTCATTATAGTTTAAAAGATTACTTACGATACGATTTGCGACGGTTGAAGGAGTACATTAATTTGCAATCTAGCCGCTACTTCTAAAGGAATTCCCGTCGTCTGGAAGATTGAAAAATAACTCTTCAGCAATAATATATTATTAGTTATTATTATAAAAGAATTTTTTGCAATCAATTTAAACGTTAATTGATTTTACTTTGAAATATCTATTTATGAATCTTATCTATCAAGATAACGAATGATAATAATTGAACACCTGCATTTTAATAAAATAAACATTTCTATATATGTACATATTAAATCTTTTGATAAAGATTAACTGATTGATTAAATGAAAGAACTTACGGGTTCTAAAGTAATGTAGAAATTGTGATCTTTTTCCTTAGGGTTCATCCCTATGACCTGTTTGCTTAGAATAGGGTCAGCTTTATAAAAATGAGGAAGACTGACGAAGACCGGTGCCCCGTAACGACAGGCAGTTATATTTATTAAACCGCTGGGATTACATTCGCCGTTGCAATAACAGTTGCTAAGATTTACTAGATCGGGATCATCGTTGTCCTCGGGCATCTGCGTAACTTCCATCGAGTGTTCTGACTCAAAGAAATTCTCAGTCGTGGTTGTTCGCTCAAAATATTTTGCCTGGTTGTGAGGATAACGCCTTCTTGTTTTGTTTCCTAAAGTTTTCTCACCCAGAACATATTGATTGCCCTCGATTTCCATGTACGTGGTCTTTTTTTCAAATTCGTATAACAATGATCTGTTGATATAAAAAATTAGCATTAGATTATCGTGAAATATTAATAAAAAATGAAGAAAAAGTATTACTTTATTAACATTATCTTTTTATATTTTTTTCTGACAAAAAAATTCCCTACACACATTCCAATAGTTTAAATTTAAAAAGAAAATAAAATTTAAAGAGCCATGGACATGACCGTACTCTAACCACAAAGGCATATATAGGTATCTTAAGTTCATATATATGTGTTAAATAAATGAGATTATAGATCGATCCTATTATAGTCACGTCGCGAAGGTTAATATACACGAAGTGTATAAAGTCTATAGGGGTTTTCTCAATGTGATTTGTTATCCGAGAAATATTAAGTAAATTTGTCTGTATCATTAGTAAAGTACATGCTTTTAAAAAAAATTGCTCGACTTTAAAATATAAAAGTACTATATCGAGCAATGTCTGCTACAATGTATTTATCAGTTCAAATTTCTATCTAATAAATTTTTTAATTTCTTAAGCATATAAATTCTCAATGCAGAAAACTTTGAAAAATTTTAAGTAAATAAAAATTCTCTTACCTGCATATATCCGAACTAAACAAATTGATCTCGTCTTCATTTTGATACGGAGGCCAAAATTCACCAGCGCTTCCTTCGATTATATTGCAAGGAGTTTTAAAATACTTTATGGTATCCTTGTAATTCCAATTTCTCAAAACACCTAAATTACTGATATTGCTATTACCAGTATCCATGTTGAAGTGACCATCAAATTCTGATGAACCGTTTCTCTGAAAAATTAAACAAATTTAAGTATCCATGTTGAAGTGACCATCAAATTCTGATGAACCGTTTCTCTGAAAAATTTAAACAAATTTACTATCATCAAAGATCATTTTTTCGAATCGCAACAAATAACGAGGAAAGGCATAAGGAAACAACAAATATATAACGCATTTCATAGTAGAATCTTAAATTAGCCGACCATTGATGTTGCATGCACGACGCAACAAATTAATACATAATATGCCCCCATTGCTTTTCATTCGTTATTCAACGTAGACGTGACCCGCTTCGTACAGTAGCAATTTAAGTCTTGACTTGCGAATAATTTACCATCGTCTATAATTCCATTACCACGCGACCATTACCATCAAAAAGGTTCTCCAAATAAAATAAACAATATCCAAATGATCGAATATTATTTTTCTCATCTTAAGAAATTTCATAATAAATTCCGATCGACATAATTTGTTATGTTAGACGTATTAATGTTATAAGTTATTATAGTTATGTGTTAATGTAATTTTGTATATTATATCATACCATATAAAACCAACCGAAGCGATCAAAGGGTGGCACCTCATCAGCAACGGCGACTTTTCCCATATTAATTATTGTGTCCTCGTAACCAGTGAATAATAGCTCGCCCACCGTCTTTGTTACACTTAAATTTGATTTTGAGCTAAGAATGTAGGAGAAGGTATTTTGCATGAAATAAGACCAGTATCGTATTTTGTGCGTAGCCGACTGAAACAGATTGATTAATTTTTTTTACATTAATTCTAAAATATAAGAAATAGAACAAGATTACTCACCACTGCGACAACATTGAGTTGTGTTATATTATCTTGTAATGTTCCATTAGAGCGTTCTTGATCAAAGTACCACCATCGTTGTTGAAAATAACTAACAGTGTCATTCTCAGGATGAAACGTAATATTTACTTTCTGTCTTACCTCTCTGTAACATGATATCGTAATATATTCATCGTTTAATGATCCGTTGCAATAAACTTTTTTCCTTTACTTTTTAATTATGATCGGTAAAAAGAAATAGAAAAAAATAGAAAATGGATACAAATTATTATTCTGAATATTTTATAACAATCTATAAGATACAATTAAATTATTATAAGAAAACATTGTCCTTTCAATGATTTTGGTAATTCCTTTTTTTCATGAATATTCTAATAAAAAAATAAATTTAGATTATCTAATACTTAATAAGTATGTACATTTATAATAAATTATACATAAGGTAATAAGTAAACAACGTTTATATTTGTAATGTTAGATGATGCAAGGACAAAAAGAAGTACAAAAAATATATTTTCTTTTTTGTACTATTATTTATACAGATATGTAAATAATTCTTATTATTGTATTTTCAAACTAATTTAACACATATACATCTTATGTATCTAATAACCGTTTGAAGAAGTATTATCTTTGTTGTGTAATCATTGGAAGTTTTCTTTGCCCGCTGAGAAGTTTAAGGAATGGCGTACCAGATGGAAGAGAGAACATTTACAGGAGGGAGAATTCTATTTCTATTTTTGACAGAAACGAGTGCTTGAAATAGAAGATCATTGTACCTATAGAGATATACTTTGTTCTTTGAATGGATCATTTGATAACACGTATTGTTCTAATCTCTTATGTGTCTGTGAAACATTTTACGTATAAAATGTCGTAAGACAATAATTTGTTAAAGATTATTTATCATTTTTAATAATATTAATACATTTTATTTCAATTATAATTAAGAACATTAGTGATCTGGAAGATAAGAGATGACAAAGAGTCCTTTCGTTAATAAAAATATTACGGTAAGTTTTTATACAGACAAGAAAGTCATCAATTAAACAATTAATTAATATAGTATCGCCTACACACTACTTTATCATTTGGCTAAATGGTTTTATTGTTCATTAAAATGTCATTCTATAAGGTTAAGTATTTCTTATTTATCGTTATTAGATTTTCTATTAGTATATACATATGTAACGCTTAATTAGAATAATTTTTTGATCAAATCTCATCTCGTAAAATTTAATCGTAGGTACTTTTACATACGTCGTTATATAATTATTTTTAATCTCATAATAAATTAAATAAACTAAACCAACATAAATTCGAACAACAAAGATAAATAGTAATTTTTTATTACGATTAAATAATACATAAATAACTGATAATGTGTTTTTATATAATAATGTTTTGTTATCTACGTTACGTGATCCAGATAGAAGAATTAATATGTTTCATTTATAATTTCATTTAATATCTTTCATCAGTTTCTTTAATCGTAGATATTTTATTAACTTATCTTGACGATAATTGTGATTTTTTAATACTCACATAAAGCTGTACGGACCGACTTGAACTAGATTCGGTTTCTTTTCGGGTATAGTTATTTCTTCTGGATTCGTCCAATTAAAGAAATAAATGTTTAAATACATATGCGGCAGACTACTCGTATCCTTCCATATATTGAAGCTCTTTGAATCTTCGGAAAATACCAATTCCTATAAAAATTGTATAATATTACGTATATTCTGGTTAGCAGCATGGATATTATGTGTAACAGATGCGAATCGTTAATAATTTTAAATATGAAATAATATTAGAATGTTAAGATTAAGAACATTATTGAGTCAATATGTCATGGATGTAACATTGATATACTTATACAGATTGAACTCTATCGTTCTTCAAATATCGAATAATGCAATGTATATTGCCATTTTGCATAATTTAGATACTTTATGATAAATACTATTTGTAACATACTGACCGATAAAATAAAATATAGATTATCTCTTCTAATGGTATTAATTTATTTTCGATTACATAAAAACCAATACTTGGATGATTTAATGAACATTTTTAATTTACCATATTAAGCATATTGTAAAGTCGATTAAGATAATTTTTTATTGATATGATCTTATTTATGAACGAAATAAGTACTTGTTATCACATATTATTAGAATTACATCTTTATTTATATCAGAGTTATATCTTCAAAAAGGATGATATTAACAAAATAAAAAAAGGTGTACATACGTTAGTATTGATTATCATATGATACATTACTATGGATATTTTATGTAATCAAATAATCAAACGACTCTGTGCCTTCATATTACTTTTTTGAGAATCTTTGGAATTTACAAAAAATTTTATGAAAGACAACGATGCTCAAGAAAAATATTCGTACTTTTAATTTATTAGTAAAAAAGATCGATTATGAATGAATAATTATAAAAGGTAAAAGAAAGAAGAAAAAAAGGAAAAAGCGAAGAACTCCTAATGAATAATTATATCTTATACTTTTTGTTAAAGAAAAAAAAAAGTTGAAGAGTGGTTTACCTTTTTAAGAATTTGATCAAAGATGGTCGACGAAAAAAAAGACAAAAAGGCTCCCAAAATAATTAAGAGTCCTCCAGCAATTCCAAAACTGACCGATTTATTAATCCAAGGCATCATTTCGATAACGATGACGACGACAACGATGACGACGACGACGTATAGTAAATTTTAACGTTCACTATTTCTCGTCTTCTCAGCATGTGCACCCTGAACTCAATGACCGTCGGTCTCCTTCTCGATTACCTCTCTCACTTCACCCCGTTGCTTTTCCGCTTGCTGATTCACACTACTGCTGACCGAGCTATTACTCTCACTGCTCTTTGGGTCTCTGAAAGATAAAGTCATATCTAATCTATTCACTCATCAATGGTATTATGTCTTTCATCTTCTGATTTTATTATATATATATATATATATATATATATATATATATATATATATATATATAATGTTTATATATATATAATGTTTTCTTCGTATTTACAGAATATTTACGCAATATTCGCAAGATCCGAAGAAGTTACACTAGCGAAGTATCTTTAGAAAATATAAAAATCATGTCATCTAGTTCATATAATTTTAATGATAGTATACATACATTATATATTATTTATAATGATTTATGTAAAATCACGCAGTTTGCTGTAATTATTGTAATGATTTATTATAGAATGCAACATAAGACGATAATCATTTTTGTAAAATACCTTAAAGAAAAAGATCGTTACATCTAAACGTATAATTCTTTGAAATCGACCAGTCAGCAAACCTAAATGAAATATTACGTTATTACGTACTAAGCTTCTGATAGATTTATTATAGTAGCTATTTGTGACAGTCAATTGTTGAAACAGATTATATAAGTCATTGTTAAAGCTTCCTTCCGAATTCTGCCAGAAGAGTGTTTGGCAATCTGAAATTCCTGAATTTAATTATGGCCCGATCATGTCATTACCGTGTACATTTGTTTGTTTCTTTCGATTCGTTTCATTAATTGTACTATTTGTATTTATAATTTTCCATACTAAAAGTATTTTGTCGGCATGAATATTGATTAAAATATTAAAATTATAGCAGCATGTAAAAAATGGATCCATTAAAGATCATACATCAAAAGGAAATACAGTGATCAATCTGTTTCTTTGTGCCTAATAAAAAAATTTATATATTCGACCCGAGTATTCTGATTTGAGAGAGATGAGAAAGAGAGAGAAAGAGAGAGAGAGAGAGAGAGAGAGAGAGAGAGAGAGAGAGAGAATGCAAACATTCATAATTACACTAACTCAAGTTTCCACGAGTAATAGACACTAAGTTCACAGCCAGAATCACTGAGAAGAAAAACAACTATATATCAATCATTGATACATAATTGTAACAATTGTGATATGCTGATTATACGTATATCTCTTTTCTTCTTGTTATTTTTACTTTCTTTCTCTCTCTCTCTCTCTCTCTCTCTCTCTCTCTCTCTCTTTCGATCACTCTCTCCACCTTCCCCTATTACTTCATGATTTTCACTATCTTTCTCTTTCTCCGTCTTTCTCCTGCACTTTATCATTCTTAATCATTCATCATAATTAGACTTTTTAATGATATTGCCCACATTTCTGCAGAAAGATTTCATTAATTTGTCAGATTTCTCTAATTGAAAAAAATAAGCTATATAAATAAGATGAAATCTTTTTGACAGATGAACTTCAATAGTATCAAATATAATAGTGTAAAATAAAAATATCAGCTCGTATTGATACTTTAAGATTTGCTTCGACTTTTGCCTTACATTTTGTAAGAATATAAAATCCATGATAAATAAATCTTTTATAATTTATGGGGATATAATTTGTATAATATATAAAAATAAATATAAGGAATAAATATAAATTATGATAGCGATCAGAATGAATATTTATTTTTTTTTTTCTTATTTTTCTCTTGCAAACAATTTATGATCTAGCCATTTCTTTCTCATTTATGGAGATATTGTACTTTTTGATAAAATAGAGAGAGAGAAAGAGAGAGAGAGAGAATGATTACTTATCTCTATCAGCAATATTGTTATGTATATTTCTAATTTTCTTTTAATTTTTTCATATTTGTTTTCACTTTTTCTGTTAAAGAAACTCATGTCATTTGCCCCTTCTTATCTTCGTCCTATATGATATTATGTATTGTTGTTTTTCCTTCAATGATTATAAATAAATAAAAAGGGGAAAGGTCATTCATTCATTATTCTTACTTGAGTTTCTTTTATAGATTGTCGGGAAATTCTCTGAGAAAAATTTTTTGTTTTATGAAATGAAGATATTAATAGTTTGAATAAATTTTTTTAATCAATCATGATAGATTTTTCATTAATTAATGAATTTTTTCTTCAAGATTTATATTCATTATATTTTTTTTTAATCGGAGCTGAAAACTAATTAATGAATAAATTTATATAACATGATCAACACTTGAATTATATAAGCTCGGTTAATAAATCGATTGATTATGTAAATATAATAATTTAATATAAAATAACTCTGCTAGTATTAAATCATGTTTAAAAAGATATAAAAAAAAGAATAAATAAATAAATAAATCCAGGGTTTTTTTTTGATCTGACTTTGTTTGTTCATTCAAGATCAATTGGTATTTTACGTGATTAATTTTCTGTCAATTAAATACTTCTTTCGATGAATCTAAAAAATAAACTTCTTATTATATAAACTTTTAAGTTATATTATAAACTTTAAAAAGAATAAATAAAATGTATTATAATAAATAAAATGTATTCCAATCGTTAACATCATTAATAAAAGTTATTGAGTAATTACTATTGATTGTTAAGAGAATAGAATTAGTTTAGTTTGTTATTTGTCATGAAAGGAAAATAAAATTATAATATTTATTTAAAGAAAGTATCTTATAGCAAATAGTGATTTAAAAAAAAAAGTGATTTATTGTAACATTAAGTAAGCAAAAACAAAGGATAAATTTTTTTGAATATCGATATTCATTATCAATTGATGATGATTCAACTATTTTGATACAGAACATAGTATTATACAATAATGTAACACTTTTTAATTTTTATAAAAAAAATTACGGAGATAATAATGATAATAAATCGAAAGATCGTAATTTATTTTTTTCGAATCTTATGAATATGTGATGCATTAAAGATGACGTAAAAGCAATTTTCTCTTTCGATTAATTTTATTCTAACTATAAAAAATGGTTTTACTTATAATGACCTCTGCAGATAGGAAATAATCGGTGAATTTACGATTCTCATGTAAATATCATTAAATATTAATAGCTTTAACGAGTATATTATTTCTTATAAATCAATTTAGATTCATAAAATGTTTTATTCGTGTATTGAGTACATGAAAAAAATATTTTAATTCTTTTCTTTTTTTTTTTAATTTTAAAATTCATATCATAAACTTGGAAAAATATATTTAAATATTATATATGCTACGTAATGTATATATATACTACATTACACTGAAAAATATCAAAATATCTATTCCTTGTGGTGTGATGGTGTGATAAGAAAATATACAAGTGAGATAAAAAAAAGATCAACCGTAGTTTCTACGTCTTCTCTCTATAATTTTCAAGTTTCTTCTATTTTTATCATTTCTATCGGATTTATGTTAGAATGTAAATGTCTTTAGCTGTACGTGTTATAAGATTATACAACGAAACTCAATATCTCGTCAACGTTTTTTAAAATCTGTTTCATTTTTCCGACGATGCAATTGAAACTGCTGATGCAATATATATATATATATATATATATATATATATATATATATATTAAAATCGCTTAGATATTTAATTTATTTGTTTTATTATGCTCTATTTAAGATAAATGTTTCGAAGTGTTTCAAATGAGAAAAGTCGACGTAAACTTGATGATAGAATTACAAAATTATTTTATCTACTCTCAATCTTATCAAATAATAAGAAAAATATATATCATTATGAAATATTAATCATTCTTATAAAATAATAAAACGAACGATATGTTAGTCACTTTATCAAATATCACCTTAATAAATCCGTTTGTAAATAAGCTTCACTTTGAAGAGTATCCAATCGTATCACTTTTGAAAGTAGATGATAAGAAAAGAAATGTTTTGGTATGTATGTACAATAAGTGTTTTAATGACCGAATTCTCTTTCTTAATACGACGCGTCGTCCGTTGCGTCTACAACTGGCGAGCGCTATGGATCAACAGGCTATGTCTAACAGCTTTATCGGTTACGTCCCCTCCACAAGGTATCTCCCTCATTTCTTGTGTCTCTTACTCGCAACCCCACATGTTTCACATCTTCTCTCTTCGTTTCCCCTCTCTTTGATGAGCTTCAACCCTCCTATCACGTTCAAGTCTCTTTTCTCATTTTTGACCGGTTTTGGAATATATCATTTGAATTATTCGATTAGATTGGTGAGTCTTCTTCTTTATATTGTATTATTATATTAGTATAATATAATATATCTATATTATATTATTATTATTATTATTATTATTATTATTATTATTATTATTATTGTTATTATTCCATTCATTTCTTTTTCTACTGGAAACTGCCAAATTGTTTTTACTTTTTCACTTCTTTACTAATTATTGATAATAATTACTGTTCAATTGTATTTTTTATTTTGTATAATGAAAGATAGTAAAATTATGCAGACATAATGAGTTTTTAAAAATATAAGGATAAGTAATATTTATGATTAATTATATAAATATACAATGAGGCAATCGTGAAAACAAGAAAATCTTTTTTCTATTTCGCAATATTCATGTTGATTAAATAGTCAACCGATAAGATTTTTTTGGTCTATCACGTTTTCCTTTTATAGCATATCCAACTTTTTTATTCAATGTACATATATTATTGGAAAAACATATGTTTATTACAATCCTTGAGAATTAAATGCTTTTCATATATAAAGAATATGAAAATTCATTTTTCTGCGTAAGTTAATGTCTTTGATAAATGAAAGATAAAAAGTAAGAAAGAAAAGAGAATTAAGGGAAATTATCAAGTCATTTGGAAAATTTGAAAGAAAGCATAACAAAAAAAAGCAGTTTGTAGTAAAGAGAAAAAGAATCGATTTTACTTTGAGTTCTACACTGCTGTTTACAAAAAAGATACAGTAAGGATTTCAGAATTTTATCTCCTTCTGTTAGTTACTTATCTAGAGGAAGAGAGATAGAAACATTGAGAAAGGTCACACCCACACAAAGATCATTCGTTCCGTTCCACTTTTCCCATATTTCTAAAAAGAAATTTTTTCTTTTACTCATATGCTAATCATATTATATCGTAACTATTTCTAACAAATTTTATCATTGAATAATCAAATTTTTGTTTACACTTATCATTTTTTTTTTTGCAGCACGTGAATATTTGTGACCTGATGAAATAAAAAAAAAAAAAAAAAAAAAAAAAAGAAAAAAAATTTATAATACACCTTTCCTATATATAATACATATTTCCTTATTTTTCTCCATTTACGTTTTCAACGTTAATAAAAAAGTTAAATAAAAAAGTTAATAAAAAAGTTAATAAAAAAGAAAAAAAAAAGCATCTGCATTTACGTTATCAACAAGAAAAAAAAAGTTAACAAAAAAAAAAAAAGAAAAAAAAAACATCTGCTTTGTTCCTCTTCGAATCTTTTTTTAATTTTAATTCTGACGAAATAAACATATGAATAAAAGATTACTCGTGTTATAAAATTTCGATATTTTTCAAGGCAATTAGTTTCTTCATTCAAGACAACTAGTTAGTCAAGTTTTTTAATATATCATTATTTTTTTTTCTTTTTAATAGAGAAAAAAACGAAGATGCATTGTAATAGCATACGTGTCGAACGATTGTGAAAGCATGACTAAAAGGAGAAGTTCATTGGAATGTGAGTCACACGATAGGTTCGAGAAAAGAAAGAAAGAGAGAGGAAGCTCTCAGGTAGTAAGCCTCTGAAGTGCCTCGATTCCCTCCATCCCTCTACTGCTTTTTCACCGTCTTCATCTATCTCTATTTATTTTACGAATAGACGCCTTCGACGTCTTCGTTTTGTTTCGTATTCGTGTTCGTTGAACGAATCTCATGGTTTTCTGTCCCTCCTAAGTTTTAGGTTGCATCTAATTAGCTTATATATATTACATTACATAACTGGAGTCAATCTTTGATCAACGTTCAATGTTCAAGAATTATTGATTTGAAAGGAAAAAAACTAAAGAAAAAAAAAAAATAAACAAAATAAAAAAGAAAAATTAAAGTCAAAATGCAAAATGATTTTAAACGATGAAGATACGACAAACGTAATTTTGTTTTTTTCTTTCTCGAAGCCTCTAACGTGGATATAAATAGGATTAAAATTATATACTTCGCACCGTTGAATATTTCAATGTGTCATGGAGGATTTGTTCTAAGCGAAAAGACGCAAGAGAGGAGAAATCGAGCATGCCAGGAAGCTCAGAAATTTCAGACAAGTCTTTTAATTCAAGCAGACATGTTTATCAAAAATTTAGGCCATGCATAATTTTCAAAGGTATCATTAGTGAAAGATAAAATTGACTTTTTCGCATTTATTCTATCGCTTTGTCTAAGTTCGCGATCAATGGATTGTAGGGAACTAAAAAAAAAAAAAAAAAAAAAAATAAGATGCCATTATTAAATTAACTAAGTAGATTATGTGATTCGAATAAATTATTTGAAGTTAACTGTATCGACGTTTAAACTTGAACGTACCTATATTGTAAATTACAGGTTCAAATTATGTTATTCGTAAGCAGCGTTCAATTTGAAGGGAAGCTCGAACAAAAAGAAACAAAGAACGTCTGAATGTCGTACCATGCACCAATCGTACCATCGTACTCGTAGACAAGACGGTAAGGCGCGAGGACGCGATGGAATCCATTAATTCACTCAGCAAATTTGTTGCTCGAAGCTGCCACTCGAAGAGCCTTGACTGGGCGTTTACCCACTATAAATCGGTTGAGCACGTGGCGTTCGTTTGGATCGGCAGGAAGACCTCGTTTAATTGTCCACAATGCCTTAGACCGCACGAAACCAGCTCGTTATTAAAGAGAATATTAAGGGACATCAACTCTCTAAATAAACTCTTTTTAAAGAGTACTAAAATTCTTTCCAATAAAATTTCTATTTGTATTTCATACAAAGTTGAAGTTATTAATAAAATTATCAAAGAATCTATTCGAACTTATTTAAGATGTTCCTCTTCATTTTTCGTTTAATTTTATCCTCAAGCACGACGTTGATCGTGTGTGATAATTTGTCGCATTACAATTTTCTGGATCACCGAGTATGAATGTCGAGATATGAGAAATTATCACGTAGACACGTTTATTTTATGAGACCACCCTCTAATATTTCATTATATTGGAAAAAAGCGTACGTTTGTCATAAGCCTTGTGACTAAATGATTCAGAGGTATTCCATGATGACACATTGCTTGAAATTAATAATTATAATGATATTAATTATAATAGAATTAATGAAAACATTTATAAGAAACATCTATCAACGATTATTTGCTTCTTCTTTATAATTAATTATTATCTATGAATTTAATTATCTATAATATTTTTACAAAATGACTTCGTTTTATGATAAGAAGACATATCTACTCCATGCATATTCAAAAATAATTAAATCTACCGTGTATAGTGATTTTTATATTTTATTTACAATAGAAAAATTTACTAACGAATATTTATAATCTAAATCTAGGAAATTGTCATCGACTATTGTCGCATAACGATACTACGTTTGGAAAATTCATCAATATATCTATAATATTTATAATAAACCTAAATGAATACTAGAGATAATTGAAACTATATGATAATCAAAAAAAAAAAAAATGAAGTTTGTCAAACTGACACACGTTTTTAAACAAATTATAAAATTAATTAAACGATAACGAGATAATTCTATTGAATGATTCAAATGTTATACAACATGCTATTAATATAAGAAAGCTTTTCGCGATATTTAATATATGAATATAATTAATAATATAAGAAAATCATATAACATAACAATTCGCTTTATCTCTATACTTTTATTATTCTTTTTTGTTAGTTAGATATCTATATCAAAATCCAGATAATTATATTACAATAATTTATCTAATCTTTCCTGGTAAATATTTTCCTGGTAAAGAATACATCTAATCCAATGTATTTGTCACTAAAGGAACCTTTAGATGTTTTCCTCCTTCCAAATTTTACTTGAGACAACTGCGATAATAAAAATACGATTAGACGAGATAATAAATGCTTGATGCTTTCGAATAATGCATTCACACTGGCGAACTGAGCTTCAAAATCTATTTGGGTTAACGTCGTCTCATTAATAAGTTTTCACTTTTCATTAGTGGATGTTCGACAAAATCTCTTTCTGGCCCACCAAACTGCTGCCAAAGTAGCCGCTAAAAATCCAATACCAGCAACGATGCCCATAGAAATTGCTCTATTTCTACGATATGCTGGTACTTCTAAACTGATACGCCCGCTAATAGCTTCATCGTCTGAAAGTGACATCGCTGCTACCTCGAAAGTATATTGACTTTCTTCTTCTAACGTTTTCACTGTAATTAGAGAAAAAAATGAGAGAGAAAGAGAGAGAGAGAGAGAGAGAGAGAGAGAGAGAGAATTAATAATTCATAATTTTAAACTTAAATTCAAGCTTTTACCTAAATAATAAGTGTCCGTTGTTTCGGATCTTCCATATAAATGTTGTGCTGGGCCTCTAAACCATCTTACGACATAGAGCCTAACTTGACCTCTACCTTCGGATGGTGGTTCCCAAGTGACAAGATAACCCTCTACTGTCGCTTGAACTCTTACATTACGAGGTGGGCCCATTTTTTCTTCCTCTGGATTCAAAAAAAAAAATTCGCGTGAGAATAGATATCGGTCTTTGTCATCATAATTTCAACTTTTACAAACCTAATGGACTACGAAATTCTGATGCTGAATTTTGATCGATGGCTGCTGCAATAAATAAACTCAATAGATTTAAAATTCAAATAACGTCAGATCGTTGACAATTTTTCAAACTTACTTGGTTTTGTAAATACCCGAAGTGCCTTGCTAAACATTCCATCGCCGTGTTTGTCTTGACTCAAAACCATGAACTCGTATTCTCTACCAGGATGCAAATTATTCACCGTAGCTTCTGTGATCTTACGCGAAAGTATCTTCATGGTACGCCATTCTGACATATCGGTAGGTCTATACCTATTTTTTAAAGAGAAATGAAATTTTCTCTTTATCCTTCTTTTAATCTTTTTTTTTTTATTTTTTTTTTATTTTTTTTTTTTTTTTCAAAAGAATATAATTCTTTTATTACCAGACGGAATATTCCATCTTTGGTCTAACGTAGCCAGGTACCCACGTCAAGGTTACCGCATTTTTACTACTATTGGCACTGAGATTATAGGGTGCTCTAGGTGGAATATTCAAAACCATTAATTCTGTATCAGCTACTACTGTTGCTGCTTCATTGCTAGCTGCACATTGATACAATCCACGATCTTGTTCTTGAATTCTTTCGATGGTCAAGTTGCCACCTGTTATAATTGTCCTATCACGTGGCAGTGGTGAGCCATCCTTCAAATAATAAGAACATTTTTGTGAATCATTATTGACACACATCATTTAATCACAATGTTGTACACTTCAAAAAAGAGAATTATGCTGTTATACGTACTTTGTACCATGCTATTGTAGGTCGATGACTTTGATCACCATCACTGGCATCACATGGAATCTCTAAACTCTCGCCTAATTTTCTCATATACAAATGTTGCGGCGTGACCGTGAAAACAGGTGGTCTTTGGACAACCTACGATTTTAAAGTTTAGATTTTATTTGAAGATAAAATTTTTGAAAGAAATTTATCTAAATTTCCATCTAAAAGATGGAACAAGTGTTTTAAATTTTACGACGATGCACGTTAGACTTATTTGTTAGTCCAGAAGTGCTGGTAACTCTAGGGATGCACAATTGAAGAATAAAAGAGCGTTTAATGTTGATCGTCAATTGGTCAATGGTCTCTCTAGTAAACGTTGTCACGTTGTCTTTTACACATAACTATGTTGACTCGACGTACTCGAATGAAAAAATTGATTTAATCTTATTCAATATACTGTTAGCAGTTCAAGTTTAAGGACGAGCTTAATTGAAATCATATAATTAATATTGATATAATACTAACGACATTGATTGCAGGACTAGGTCCTTCGGTACCCAGATCATTATAAGGCGTACAACTGTAACTTCCGGAATGCGTTTCGTCTACTTTGCTAAAATAAAGAGATCCATTTCTTCTGTAGAAAACACCTTGAACATTGTAAGGATCGAAGAGGAATCCGTCCTTTTCCCAACGAAGATTCGTCAGCGGTGGATTAGCTCTAAAATGACAGTCCAAAAGGGCCGGCTTTCCATAGGGAAGATAAACTTCTCTAGGCGCGTAAATGACCTTTGCCTTATCTAAAATGAAGAAGATAAGATATAAAGACATTTAACATCATTAAAATCTTTCAAGGCACAAGAACCAAGAGAAATTACATTGAACGTTGAGAAAGGCCGAGGCATTCTGTTGATTCCCATTCCAACCGGTCACCCCACAAGTGTATTCTCCAAGGTCACTCATTAAAGTTGACTTTATTACCAACGTTCCGTTTTCTTTGATGGAAGCTCTTCTCTCGAGATCCTTTAGATTAAAAAAAATAATTTTTGCCAAAAACTCGTAGAAAAAAGAATTGATAAAATAGAATTTTTGTCACAGCTTAATATTGCAATATCGAATATTTTTTTGTTTGTTTTTTTTTTTTTTGCTTTTCCAAAATTTTTAACAAATAGAAAATGTCTTAAGTAATAAGATTTTCAACTCACCTTTACTTGCGAGATCTCTATACTTTCGTGAAACCAGGTTACGGTAGAAGAATTATCTTTGACAACGCAATCGAATGAAACTGGCTCGCCCTCCATAACGGATTTGTTGACGGGCGGCGTCGTGAAGAGGGTCTCACCTGGAACATTTGTCGGAAGCGGCGACACACCTGGATTGAACGATTTAACAAGGTCTGCCCAGTGTTTGTTTGTTAATTGCAGGCCGGATTATAATCTTTTTTATTTTATTATTTTTTTTTTTTTGCTAATGGATCATCAACGTTCTCTTGCGAAAAAGCACGTTAACGCGTTTCTTCTATAGGAATTAATAGTATTATCTTGTTGGTAATTGGACGTGCAAATTTATTGATATTATTAGCATTTGTTAAAATCTTGCGCGTCAACCAGAGTTCAAAAGCCGGATGCACGTGAACTGTAGAATGATGCAATTGTATTTAATCGATCAACGAGAAAATAATCTGCTTTGTGATCCATTATATGATTTTCGATAGATCGAGGAAAAGGGTGTGTTTTTTGTTCGAACGAATCTGTACTTGTTCTGGAATGAATATAATACAATGTATGCCTAGTACTATTGTTCGACATATTATATTCCTTTTTCATATGTTAAAAGATAGACATCTTTTGTTACTATAGTTTAGCAGTTTAATTCGTAAAATAAAAAAAAAAAAATTAATTTAAGTTTAAAGATGAATATTTTAGGAAATGTACAAATCTGAAAAGTTTTCTTTAACATCATATCGTTACTAACAATTGAAAAATAACCCACACACGTAGTAATTCAGAGCCTCTCAAGTCATCCAGTGGATAATTTAATATGCTGAAACCAGAACTCTGCTTGGATTAATTAGTACAGTCGTCGCTCGTAACGTGAGAAGTTTTACACTTGTCACGAAATATTCAAAAATAAAAGAAGAGAATTGAGAAAAAGTACGATTTATAATTTGTCTCTATTTATTTTCAGAAAAATTCTCATTTAAAATTTTTAATCATATATCCGTATTTCCGTTGAGCGAATAAAGTTAATAAAAAAATATCGAATTAGTTTAGTCAGTTTATATTGAACGAAATTAATAGACCGAAAGAACGGAGTGCCATTTTTTTTTATTGTCCAAAAAGGCTGAGTAAGGAATGTTGAAAAAGCTCACACCCAGTTCGTTGGTTAGGTAGATCGGTTAGACAAAATAGCCTGACCTCGATTAGGTCTTCACGGTTAGTTCAGTTCAGTAACACGTTTTACCCACGATTTAGGTTAATATATCCTTCAGCTTTAGCAAGGTAGAGCGAACGAGGAACGAATTAATCGAGTTAGTAAATCCAATAATTATTTATGATAGAAACGAAAGGAACGTATTGTCCTTACCATCGATGGCCAGATGAAACCAGGTGCCATTTTTTCTTGAATTAGGTGTTCTGTTTGGAAAGATAACGCGACATTCGTACCAGCCCTGATCGCTCTCTCTGATGTTGGTGAGATTGATGCTGCCCTGACCATATCCGCGAGATAACGAGTCCTCCAGCAAGTGTATGCGTCCTCGATAACGAGGATCCAACGTCATCTCTTCATCGTACCACGAGAAGACACCGTGACCCTGAAAAATCGAGTGACGAAGTCGATCGACTTGAGAACAATTCCAAGAAAAGAATTCTCGGGACGCGTTAGTTCTATTTCTTGGTCAAATGATATTTATTAGCCGACCTAGATTACTTTTTCGCATAGTTTTTATTTCATCATGAAATTTAGATAGACAGTTGTCACGAGCAATGTCGCCTTTAACATTATTCGAACTGAAAAATGGGAAAAGGAGGTTTGAAGAAAACGAAAATTGCAATGTGTAACAGGATAGTAATTGTAACGATGATCTTTAACAACCTCCGTCATTTTGTAGAGGAAAACGCTCACGCGATTCTTCATAAAAGCGTAACGCGTGTCTAAGAATGAAATGCTCATTAATTATTAAAGAGAACATAATTATCTTTAGCTAATCACGTATTATTCTCGAGATTTAACTTTGAAGGTCTTCAGATGAGAAAGAAAAAGATGTGTCTAGACAAATCTAAGTTACGGAAAAGGCTAAAGGTTCGCGTTAACGTGACTTAGGGTAGCATGACTGAAACAAGGCTGGCAAAAACAGTGCTAATCGTCCCTAATCGTTTGACAATGCGTTAACAGTGACCCACTGGTTGGACCCCTCATGTCGCGAACTCGCACTGACTAAATATAATGCAGCCTTGTGTCCCGTACTCCAATTACTCCGATAAGGATAGAGAGAAAGAGAGAGAGAGAGAGAGAGAGAGAGAGAGAGAGAGGGAAAGAGAGCACCTGTTTTGCATACGCATCAGCAAACCAATCGGGTTAAGTTCCACTTGATTTTATGTTCCAGCCATGTGACAACGCACAATATGTTTCCGTTGTCCGATTCTCATTCTCTCCCGACGCGTAGGTCGTAACGTCCTTTAACGAAATACGAACCGGAAAAATCAGCAAGTCTCAATCGTGTTCGATTGAGGTTGTTATTTTAACGGTATTCCAATGATTGTACTTCGATGATTGCTTGAGAAATTACGATGTCGACAAATGTCATACTAAGACATGACAAGATCATCTACCGAACAAATTCATATAATATATGTATGTAATAAGACGTATAAATATATTTCATAACCACGACGTGTTTCATATTTTTTCGACGAGGACAGATATATTGCATAACGAAATGAAATCGAAACTAGCTCGGTATTAAGGTTCCCACGACGATTCAACGATATTATCGAAGTGGTTATCTATATCGAAGAAATTGAATAACCTGCCTTAAGTTACCAAACCGAATGTTCCATCTCTATAGATTTTTCCTTTTTTTGTTTTTTATTTTATTTTATAAACATAATCAATTTATTAATGAAGCTGATTTTCTTACGATTATATTGATGTTTTTTTTTTTTTAATACGATTGTAAAATATACTGATATCGACACCAAAGTGCAGAAGTAGTTACGTTCGAACATCGTTATCGTCATCCCTTACTAACCACAAACCGCATCACGAAGAAAAATAATTATATATCCATTGGATAACGCTTCAATATCGTACTCAAATTGATATCATTTACAATTATTATATAAAAGGGTCGGTAAATTTTGAATATCATTTGAGCGAAACGATTTAAAATTCGTAATTTTATATTGTTTATATTTCAAAAAGTTGAAATAATATCAGTTCGATTTCTATCAATGAAACGATAGAATAAATATTTATAAATAATCGGTTTATCGATTCTCCGATAAAATGTATTACGTACAAACGCAACGGAGTTTTACTACATATTCTAACGCGGAAATATTTCATTTAAACACTTACATCACGATTCCACTGAAGAATATACGGGATCGGTGTCTCGTGCGGAAAGTCAAGATCACAATTAAATACCACGTATTCTCCAACACCCGCCGTCAAATAATTCGGTTCTGTTTCCTCCTCCAATATCAAGCCGTAGTTAAATACTGTAATGAGAAAAAAGTAAACGAAATAGAAAGAAAGAAAGGAAAAAAAAAAAGAAAGAAAAGAAAAAGAAAGAAATTGTATTACGCGTTCCATTAAGAGTATCCACGAATCGTTTCGATCGAATTAGCACAGGAACAAGTTTAACTAATAATGATACTTGAAATCAATTGTAAACGAGCTCTCCTTACGTATTTAACGAAAAAATCATCGATACTCGTTCCTCTTGATATGATCTAATTGTTCTAAAACGATTAAGTTTTAAAACGATGATGTATAAATAAAAGATAAATCAAATTGTATAAGAAAAAGAGTTTTTAAATTATTTTAATGAGAAATGTCTTGATAAAATCGTGAAACTTGTTTATCTTGACGATAGTGCCTCATGATTTTGAAATCAATCGAAAACAATTGAGAGAGATTCTAATCTAGAAATGAAATGGTAATTACCTTGGCAAAATACGAGCAAAGGTGGCAGCAGTTCGAGAAAGCTTCGGGAGCCGGTCATTCTCGTAGATCGAGCGACGTTATCCTTTCACAAACTCATGGATTCGTTTTTTTTTTTCAGGTATTCTTCGAAAGGATTCTTTGCTTTTGATTACATACAAACTTCGTTGCACCTAAATAACAGCGATTAGGGATGAACGCGAAAAGATAAAACACATTCGTTATCACCCACACTAATTAAGATTTCGTACACGCGAATCGTTCGAAAGCACGTGACACTTTCACGATCGCTTTATCATTTTCCTTCACTTCCTATTCTTCTTCTTTTTTGTTTTTTTTTCTTTTTTGTTTCTTGTTTTTTTTTTTTTTTTTCTTAATTCTTTGTTATCACTGTTTTACAAACAATAGATCATGTTTTTCCTCATATCTTTATAATTAATTTATGAAAAGAAACAGTAAATCACTGCTCGTTCCAAAAGATTTTCCCGAATTTGTCTTCTTGAATAAAACGTTTGACGAGCTTAACGTTGATCGAGTGTCTGTGAACACGACTGAACTACGTCTACCAGCGAGAGTAGCCTCGGTCTATTCCGAGCGGATACGAGAGTAGTCGGACTTACGAGGAGGTGTCGCGAGGAGGAGCTTGGACATTCGAGAGAAGCCTATGGGATTCTACGTTTATTCGAGCGCGCTTCAACTCTCGTGAAAAAATCCTTTTAATATATTTCATATGCTAATAGGAATAAAAGATTGGATGTGGGAGAATCAATGATTACGTCAACATTTTTGTCGATTTGAACAAATTTCATAACGATATATAAATTCAAGAAAACTATCATGATTAAAATATCAGATTATTAAGGATAAAATATCAATTGAAATTGATTTAATTAATTCTTTTTTTTATAAAGTTTACTTTTTAAAACGGTCTTATGGGATTTATATTTGATATTTTTAACTCGTATCATTTATATTAAAACTCATTAAATTCAACTCTTTGTACATGTGTTTTTTTTGAAAAAATAATTAAAAAAATGAATATTTTCAATGAATCTTATTCAAGAGTCAAGGTTACACTGGGGTCTTCCTTTAATCTTATCGCGTCTCATAGAATGTATTCATCCGAATAACAAACGCGTGCTCTTTTATATTGAACAGAAGAAGAACGAAATAAGCATTCAGTAAGGCTTTGATCCTTAAGTCGACGCTTGGCTTTTGAGTAGAGATCTTCTTGCATTTTAAAACGAAGGGAGAGACTAAAGAGAGAATTTATCGTTAGATCTCTTGATCCTTTTAAAGTCGGCGAAAATTAAAGGTTAAGCAATCGTCGAAATGAATGAAATTTCAAGAACGAAAGTGTTAGAAGTTCAAAGAACTCTCGATCTCTTTAATATATTATTGTTTTCCGATAGTTCCTTTTTAATTTTATTAAAACATACATTCGAAAATTAATTTTCTTCATATTTTAAGATATTAATTTCTGTGCGCATTCGTACTCGTGCACTTGTTTCATAGCGATCGTGTTGCTGACACAATGTTATACCGAGCAAATTGAGCTACCGCATTGATTATTCGCCCACGCTCAGTTTAGATCAAATTGTATTAAGCGGGTCGATAGGATGCATACTCAGGGAAGAGCATATATTCGTCTTTAACGAATTTGAGTACACCAATACTTGTTGTAATTATGATAAAAGATAAAAATAATTTCATTCATTTCTTGGCAAAAAGATTTCCTTTCATGTCGATCTTGAGTATTCTATTAGATCGAAATCGTTTACGATTATTACGCGTGTACGCAACAAAATAGAAATAGAAAATAATAATTTTGGTAATCTTTCGTTATAAACAAGCATTTATTTGTCTGTCATTTAATTTTATTAAATTTTAATGAAATTTGTACGATGAAATAACTGAAGATTTATTGAAAAGTCACATCGAATGCGAATGCTTGCTCGCTCGGATTAGCGCGCGCGCACACGCCTGCGCTCTTTGCAATCTCGCGCGCGCCATTTGTGCGTGGGTGACCTCAGATTACGTCACATCCGTCCCTTGCCGCATTAGTAGACTGCCCACAGCCTTGTCACGCTGTTGAAGATAATGAATCCATTCGCATGGATCACGATCTAGGATTGGATGTGCATGGGACAGTGGAAATAAATGCGTGCATAATGACACCGGCCGCATTATTTCATCGTTGAACGAGAGGAGAAAACCAACTTGTTCCTGGTCCATCTACCATTGAACCAATCCGATCCTAGACATTAGTCGACTTTCGAAATGTTGTGTTAATCGTGGGATCCGTGTACGTGGGATTCGATTTACGTTTCACTTTGTAATAATTATCTCGTATACTCACCTGTCGGATTTTATCTCATATCACTAACAAGGAGAATGTAAATTTGATCAATTAGGTGTCGGATTAGGTATTTGTTTTTTCTTTTTTTTTTGTTTTTTTTCCAACAAGCCTATGTTACCCGAGAACATTTGTCATGTCCGACACATGCTGATGACACAAGCCCCGTCTTCTAATCATGATTAATGTCTACAACGTGTCAAGCTTAGATTTCGGATGTGCATTAGTCACGAGACTGTCCGAAACATTGGTTAATCTTAAGACAATTACTATTAAGAAATGTCACCTTGACAATAGATAAAATAACGTAAAAAGGAAATCGTTTGTATTAATTACGAAAATTTTGATATTGTGAAAATATTATGATATTTACGAGACAGAACGTTTTTAATATTTTCTATTTCTTCATTCAACCATAATCAAAGATCTTTCGCAAGTCTGGCTATTACTGGTACGTTCTACTTTCTGAAATGCTCGCGTATTCTGCACATCGAGGGAAATCAAGGAAATTGCAGTAATTCTCGGTAATCAGTGCCATAGACGCCTCGTACGAACATTCCCCCTACGCCATATCGTACTGAGATTCCGCGATTCTCAGATCATCCTACGAAAATATATCCTCTGAGACAGTAGACCGACCTGATTCCTATATTGACACTGATCTTATTACCTTGGCCAATGATCCTATTCAAAGAGCATTCTAGAACACGCTTGATATTCTGGATATCGAAATGTTTCTGTACAAATAATTCTAAGGAACATAACAAAATTATATCGAGTATATATTGCTGAGTTTTTTTACTTTACGATTTTATGAATAAACTTATTAGAACGAGTTCATGATGGAATATAAGTATGTATACATATATGTACTTTGGTAATATCTTATTTTAAAGAATTAATTAAGTGCTCTCAATGTATATTTTGTGCCATCTTACCTATTTTAAATATATATATATATATATATATATATATATATATATATCTTATTTCTCTTGCAATAATTATCAGCAAAAGGTAAAACAACAACAAAGGGGCATTATAGATCGTCCTGCGTTTCGTCGCTTTCGTTTCAAATGTCGCTTTATTTTTCATTTTATTTAATAATAAATTGTCTACAATTTGTCCTAAGTTAGTACGTCTTGGAGTTCTCGGGGAGTTCGCGAGAAAGCATAGATCGATCGAATCAAAACGGGGTTGTTGGTTGGTGAACATAGAGGTTAATCGCTTACTTATTGTATCATTTTCATTTTCTTTTTGTTTCTTTTTTTTTCCCCCGTTTTCTGATCGTTCCGTTTATTCCTCATTTGTGTTCACCCCCGGAAAGTGAGAAAGAAAAGAAAAGACAAGGTGTGGAATTGATTGGGCGTGTGCTCGCGCGCGCGCATGAACAAGACGACGACGACAACGACGACGGAGGGTGATGATTTTTCGCCGTGAAAGCGAAGAAAAGTGAAAAGACGGACGATTGAGAGTTAAAGAAGAAGAGCGTTTTACGCGTTTTACAAGAATTAGGTAGATTTGTTCTCTTTTTTTCTTTTTTCGATCCATTTTCTTTTCTCACCTCATACGCCGCTTATGCGAAGGGTTCCTTAAGAAGTTTTACAACGGCGTGTGCGTGAAATATATATGCGATTATTCATAAAGTTTTGCGACTAAAATGAAAACTCTTAAATACCATTGTTTCTTGTACTGTGGAAAAAGAGAGTCGACGGATTCTCTTACGAATTATTTAGGTGCGATTAATTACTAAAAAACGCAATAACGATTCGTTCGCCGGTGTGTCTGTCTGTGTGTATGTATATGTATACGAGTGTAAACGCGCGAAAGGTGTTCGCTTCCCTTCTTGATATTTCTCTTATATTTTTTTTTTTGTTTTGTTTCTTTTTTTGTTTATTTTTTTTTTTTCCTTTTTTTAATACCTCGCAACTTCTTTTCTCCCCTGCCGATTACACGACGATCGTTCCTCGATCGATACTTCGTTGTATCGTGTCGAGAATGAAAATATTCGAGATTCGATGCTTAATTGTATCGTCGCAAAATCGGTGTCAGAGTCAGTACCCGAGAGCCATAAGCTGTTATTTTTAATTTCGTTTGTTTTTTTTCTCTTTTCTTTTTTTTTTTTCTTCTTTCTCATTTTAATATAATTCTTCGTTGAGATATTCGTCTCGATCGTTTGCATCGTATTTGATCAATTGCGATCTTGATAACGAACGGAACTCGATTTTCGATTATGGTCTTTCATTCTGCGAAAGCATTTCCGATTTCGTAAGTTGGGAGTATTGGAGTTTTACGCTTACTATTATTCTGATCAAGATCTACACCGACGTATAAACGAACGAACGACGAGAAAATAATTTGTATTTTGATTTTCGTCTTTGCCAATTGAAAATTGAGAAAAAAAAAAAAAAACTCTCGGTATGCCCTATGGCTTTCAGGTACGCTCGTATGGAGATCGAAAAACTTAACAACTAACATACGAGACCGTCGACGATACTTTTATTTTCTTTAAACTATCTCTCGTTCGGTTTGATCCGAACGTGACGAGATTATAGAGACGCGAATAATCGTTAAACGGAAAGTACATTCTTTGTGTGTAACGTCGAGCAACTACGTGACTACGCGAAAAGAGAAGTAAACATAAAAACGTACAAAAAATGAAGCTTAACTTCTCGCTCGGCCAACGAATGTGTATATTAGTAAAAGATGGGCGGGTGTCGAACGTTTTACGCAAATTCACGATTCAACCATATTTCATTTAACAATCGTTAAGACGCCGGATTCATTCACGCTGAATCCTATTTCATTTCTCATTCTCTCTCGGACTCACACACTATCGCTCTTTGTCTTCCTTTCATCTTTTCTTCTTCTTATTTTTTTTTTTTTTTTTCATTTTTTTTTCTCTTTTTTTTTGTTTTTATTTCTTTTATCCATGATAACCGCGAGGCTTCCTTCAGATTTTCTTAGTTAATTCTATCCTTTTCGTTATTTTTTTTTTTTTTTTACGACCATCCACATTTAGCGTGTCCATTTGAGATCGTTGTATCTAACTATGATATATCTACACGTTACTTATACGACTACGTCTCGGTTTTTGTTTCTTCGCTTGCTTCTTTTTAATTCCCTTTCCTGTCCACATATGGAAAAGAAAAACGTGGCCTAAGTAGGGGGCGAGAAGAGGTCGACGTTTTTAATTATTTTTCTTGTTTTTTTTTTTTTTTTTTTTCTTCTTTTTTTCTTCTTTTTTTCCTTTTTCCTTCCCTTTCAAATTCATTCGCAAAACTTTTGTTTCGATCTTTCGCGAGTCCTCTAACGATGTCAACGAAGACAACGCGAGAACGATCGCGGGGCGAGTAACGACGATTCGATTTGTACAAAGTACTTGGTATTAAAAAAGTGTGATGATTTGGTGCCATCTTGAGCGCGCGCGTACTCGAAACAAATTCGTTTGAGAAATCGAGAAAGATCGAAATTTCTTTGATTTGATGATCTTAAGCATTTTCTCATAATTTTCGAAATTTAATCTTCGTGACTTGGTCGAACCTTGGAATACCATGAATGCTTATTTTTCATATTACATGATAATTTTCGTCGAATATAGATATTGAAATAAGTCTCCTTTGATTCTCTATTTACTTTTCTTCTCTTTTATTTTTTTCTCTTTTTTTTCTTTTTCTTCTTTTTCTTTTTCTTTTTTGCTTTAAAACGCAGCCTCTCAAAATCCACCCCCACCGTTCGTTCGCGAAATACAAGCATACCGATCGATCCCTCGGCGCGTTTTCATCATTCTCGTTGATTAATAAACTACACGCTACGTCGTTACGATTTACAATATCAATTAATTATCAAATTATTAAGTCAATCATTAGAATTACTTTAGAATATTGGTACACTTCGCGTCATCCGGCATTTCTCGTTACTCTCATCACGTCGTTTTCTCTTCCCTATTCTACGTTTGTTCGTTCGCTCTTTTTTTTTTTCTTTTTTTTTTCTCTTTTTTTTTCCTTTTTTTTATTCGTTTCTCTTTCCATTCCTCTCACAATATACACAAAGTCTATTTTTTTCTCTCATTCGCACACTTACATTCGCACGTTTCGGCAAACACGCACTTTACTTCTTTAACAAAAAAATTCTATTCAACCACGAGAGAGAGTCGATCCTTTTTCGTTTCCCGATCACCTTTATCAACTCATTCTTCTCTTTCGTGGTTTTCGTCGCTTCATTATAGTTGAATCGTGATTATGGCCCTCTTATAAGTATTTATAATATAATATATATATAAATAATTATTTGTACTATAAAAAAGTAAAACGTTAACGTCGAGGTTCTTCAGGTGCGGTTTAGACCTGGGGAGTCTTCGGGATATTTCGGTAATGCGAGGAAAAGAGAGATCGATGACAGATAAATAGGAAGAGAAGAATTGTGATAAAAGAAATTATTATGTCGATTAGCTTCTCGTCGAACCTGACTTTGAAAAATCGCAAAAGGCGTCGTTTGAAGGAACGAATCGTCTTATCGCGAACGTTTCTTTTCTTTCGTCCTTCTTTCGTTATTTAATAATAGTAATAATAATCATAATTATAATTATAATTCTAGTGACGCACAACGATCATTTCGTTTTTTAGACCGTATTTATATTCGCCCGCGTACTCTCTCGGTCGCATTTCCGACCTTTGACCTCGACATCGAGATAATTCGAAACAATATGTACTCTTTCTTTTTTTTCCTTTTTTTTTTTTTTTTTTTTTTTTTTTATATATCTTCTTCTTCCACTTTCTTCCTTCGCCCCTTTCTTTCTTCCATGTGGGACTTTTCATTTGCGTTTCTACGAACGCTTCTTTTTTTCTCCCTTTCGGTGTGTGTGTGTGTGTGTGTGTATGTGTCTGTCTGTCTGTCTGTCTATGTGTGTGAATGTGTATGTATATGCGGGTGTATGTACTTGTGTGTTTGTCGTGGTGTTCCTCGCGTATTTTTATATTTATATTTATATTTATATTCATATTTATATTTATTTATATTTATATTTATATATTTATATATATATATTTATATGTCGCGTCGGTGTACGCGTGATACGCACGTTCGCGCGTAATAATTAATATCTCTTTTTTTTTTTTTTCTCTCTCCTCGATGGCGCTAAAATCTCGGCTGATCGGCAATTTAGACGTGATTGCACACACGCATGTACGCACGTTCTTCCGCCCTTACGAAGAAGAATAACCGTCATTTCTTCTTCTTCTTCTTCTTTTTCTTCTTTTTCTTCTTCTTCTTCTTCTTCTTCTTCTTCTTCCTCTTCCTCTTCCTCTTCCTCCTATTCCAATTTCTTTTTCATCATTTTTTTTTTTATCATCTTTAAGGATTTGGTCGCGACGGAGGAACGATATGTCGTACGAAAAGAGAGAATCGATCGATTCGTTTCTAATCGCCATGCAAGTAAAAAAGATAAAGAAGAAAAATCGAAGGAAAAATGATTTTCGAGCTTATCGACGATATCGTTCGTTATTAATTGAATCGAAATTGGACGCTAATTAATGCTATTCCTCGAGACTCCAAGATAGCCGCCGTTTTATCGGCGATGTCGCACCAGCTCCGACTGGCGGCACTACGTGCGAGCGTGCGCATGCGTATTCTGCGCTATTTGCGCGCCGGCCGAGCGCGCGTAAATTCAAAGAACATTATTTTTACTTCTTGTTTCTTTTTAAATTACTTAAGAAAAATTATTGTGCCGATAATATGTTGGGTCGCTAGCGAAACCCTAAACAGGCAGTGCAGTACGAGTGAGTCCTTAAGCAATCTCGAGGCAAGCTTCGGCCTAATATCACGTTTCGAGTCCATTGCTCATCGATATAATTACTTTTTAGGCACGACCGCAGGGAGTTCCTTATGCTCTCGATATTAGCGAAAAGTGTAACATACGATTATCTCCGAAACTACTTGAGATATTCAATAACCCATTTGGATCTTTACGTTTCATATCAAAATCTAAATATATGTGTATCATGTGTGTGTGCGTGTCTGTGTATCCGGTCTACCGTCTGAACGGATAGACGGATTGATTGAAATTTATATAAAAACTGAGATTACAAGTCATGAAGATCCACGAGAAATTCAAGTTCAATTTTGTTTTTAGCTTTAAAAAGGACGGGCGTTTAAAAAAAATTTATATAAAACTGAATGTGCAACGAAAATGATAAACATTGTGCGGGAATATTTTAAAATAGTCTAAGCGATTAACTCGAACTACATCGGTCGTGCCTGTTGCGAAAAAGTGACGCTTTTTCGCTGGTGGTTTAGGAGACTGAGTCTCCTGGTTATCGTGTTATACTGCCACAATTTTTGCATCGTGTTGTATGAATTCGTGTTATATGAATCTTTGTTATATGAACCCGCATTATACGGGGATCTACTGTACTATTCCGACTTGTTTTAATGTGTCTTCGTGTGTACGCGCGTGTTTCATAATGTTAATGAGAATGTGTCTGTGTATTTATGCGTGTGTGTATTTTTTTGCGTGTGTTTCTCCTTATTTTTTTCGATTATCTTACTTTTTTCATTTGCTTTCCATTACTTATTACTTACAGCGTACGATTACGTTTAATCTTAACGTTTCGGTTTTTTCTTTTTTTTTTCTTTTTTTTTTCTTTTTTTTCTTTTTTTTTTTTTTTGTTAAAAGGTATACGGAGCACGTACAGTGGTACAGTTTCTTTGGAGTGTCATACCGTTTGTCTATCTATTCCTCTTTCTCCTCCCTTTCGTTTCTTCGTTTTATTCCCTCTCCTCTTCTCATCGTCGATCTCGTTCTCTTATGTTTTAACGACCCGTCTCTTATCTCGAGCTAGCGGGAGATATCCATCCTTTTGCGCGACTCATAGCCACGGGGCAGTTTCACTGAGCTTTACAAAATAGAATTGTTCCTTTCGTTTCGTCTCTCCCTTCCTCAGCGTTTTTGGTGCGTTCCTTGATTCTTTGTTATTATTATGTACTTTATGTTAAAAATCACGGTCCACTCGGTATGGACGTAGGCGCGGTTGGTATTATCGCGGAACGCAACCAGCAACAATAGCATCTCTTTTTCCTTTTTTCGATTCTCTTCTTCCGTCTTTATACGTCACGTGACGTTCATCGATCATAGGCATTTTCGCTGTTTTCATCCTCGTTGGATCGTCTTCTGCCGATAGGCGATCTCGAGAAACTCGTTCGGTGTATGATCTCATTTGCGCTTTCTTTTAATCGTAAAAAAAGACGCGAACGTCTGAACGTTTCGTATCTACTACGTTGTTCTTCGTGATCGAGGGGAAACATATGTATTTTGAGCTTGGCGCTCGTAAAAACAGTCCTCTCTTAATATCGGAGAGAATTGTTTTGGCTAGCGGAATTGACTTTTTTTAAAACGCGCCTATATTTCGATACCGTTACGCGATGATGATTCTCGTTGTTTTGTGCCTTGACGATTGGTCTTAATGCCGAAGGATTTCCCAAAGGAAAGCACGTATACCAGGTTGTTTTCGACCGCGACAGATTCTTCTTGGTCCTCCGATATATTCGTTCAATGGGAATGTCTCGTTACTAGGTTTTCGATTATTGGACCGTATCTAATCGTATCACGCCACCACGATGCGAATCATTCTTGATCGTCGAATTCTCATTCAGCCTGACAAATTTTCTTCGAAGAGCTTTAACAAGCACTTTCCAAGTGGGTACTTTGCTTTCTCCTAGCCTGCCTTTGCCTAAATTGATGGAATTCGGCCTTCATGGCCTGTACTCTAGCCTCGATATTATCCCTGCTGTATCTCGATGGTTGATGATGAACCGTGTGCACCTGATGAACGTGCGGCACATGAATGGCGTGTATTTGATGAACCGGCGGTCTCTCTTCTCTAGTAGGAGTGGAGGCAGAGGTAGGTGTAGGCGTACAGGAGGCAGGATCGAACTCATAGTGTCCATCTACGCTACCAGCATCTACGGCATTCTTCAAGTGGCCGACCTTCGCCTGGTCCTGAAGCTCCAACCATCGACCAACCAGAGGAGGCGGCGGTGGCCTATAAGGTGGTGGTCTCCATTCAGCCACCGTGCTTCCGCTCCTCGAGCTCTGATTTTGTTGAGATGTATTCTTGCTACCGAAACCCGAACTGCTGGATCTACTTTCAGGCGAGGTCTCCAAATCCGGAGACGCAGCCAGTTCAGGCGCCGACCTGGCGTGCCTGGCGTGTCTCGGTGGAAGTCTCGCCCTTGGTCGACCAGCGGATTGAGGCGGAGACGAGGTAGCAAGAGGTTGAACGGGTACGAATCTTCTGGACTCGGCGTGGATCGCCTTCAAAGATGGGAGCTCTTGGCTGTAACGTTGATGAACAGTTCGCAATTGAAGGTAACTTGGAGGGGTCGGGAAGGATCTTTCCCCTGACGATGGTTGTCTCACGGAGCTGAGATCGCTGAAGTATAACGGCGTCCAAGGTACATTGGGACCGCTCGGTGAACTCGCTAAGAATCTGGGCGACGATATGGTACAGATCGTTGGTGGTATCCTGGCCAATGAATTCACTGCATCCTGATGGTGATGATGAGCAGCATGCAGAGCACCTATCGAGACACCGCTACCCGATGATCTCAGGCTCAGCTGACTGTTGCCGACCAAGGGACGTCGCCAAGAGGACTTGAGCCGTTGCTTAGGCAGAAAGCCACCGTCGTCGCTGCTTGATGCATCCAGGATGCTGTTGTTCGCCGAACTGAGAACCGAATCCGCCACGACGAATCGGCCGTCGGCCGCGCGAGAGATCTTACCGAGGGGACGACCGCGGCATGAGTCCGGGGTGTCTGGACTCAAAATCTCTCTTAGGAGATTTAGACCTGGTACTCTGCTTTTTCTAGGTCTATATAGTAGGACAGAAGAAACGTTAGAACGGACCTGCTCTCGCGATTTTTCGATTACAAACGACGCGATCGAGTATGCCGGATGAGATTGATTATAATTTAGTTTGATAAATCTCTTAGAAATGTTCGAGGAAACAAAATTTCTTTTCTTTTTTTTTTTTTTCTTTTTTTCTTTATTCCATTTATTTCCGGAATACTTTATCGGTCGTTTGATAAGACAAACACGTGCAACAACGACGCAACACGTAACGATAACGAACACAAGGGAAACGAATGACTAGAACAAAATAACGAAAGGCAAACGTTCAAGTTAAACGTCTATATAATTATTAAGAAATTTATCACGTATGATAGGTATATAATAAAGAATAACGGATACAGGCGAGGAAGGCATGCCGCATGCGCATTCCGGTGCACGAGTGATAGGGGTGTGACGTAGGTCGTGAGTGGGTGGGCGTTGGCAGTGATTATTTTCATTTTTTCTTTTTTTTTTCGAACACATTATTTTTTTCAGTCTTTCTTTTTTTCTTTTTTTTTGTATTTTTTTTTTTTTTTTTTTTTTTTTGACGAACATTTACTTTTTTTCTTTTAGTGTAATCTTTTTTCTTTTCTTTTTTTTTTTGCTCGAATATTTTTTTATGTTTTTCATAGTGATAGCAATTGTGGATTTAGGTGCTCCGAAACTCGTCACCTTTTTTCCTCCTTCGGGTCCGGCAGCAGGGAAAGATGGGGGAGAGAGAATGTTGTAACACAACGATTACATTCACAAAAACAATATCGTGGCGATAATAATAAGAAATATAATGCTAAATAACCGAGCTTGTTACTTTTCTAGGCGGTGATGTTAGGGAGCAAATAGATAATGCGTGTCATATTGTGTAATCAAGGTGACGGTTAAGGCTCTTTTGTTCTACCGATTATTTCTCCACGCTTCTTTGATTTATCTATAGAATAAATACTCAATTTTCTATGGGGACGAACCTTCTTGTATTGTTTGCGAGTTTAAAAGAGTTTGTTAAAAAAGAACACATTAAATTAAACAGTACATATATTGTAACAGAGAAGAGAAAAAAAGGAATTTTTCGATGGAAGGATTTGATGGAAGGATATATTTTCTAAGAGTTTACGAAACAGAATTTTTAACAGTGCAGGCTATATACGGGGTATTAAAAAACCCTGTATATATTCATACATACATATATATATATATATATGTATGTGTGTGTTTGTGTGTTTGTGTGTGTGTGTGTGTGTATGTATGTATGTATTCGAATGAAAAATAAATACTTGAAGGCGGTAAGGATAAATTTTCTTGGAAAAATGTGAGATGTTTAACGATAAAAAATGTGATGTAAAAAGGCAGTAAACAGAAAAATACGACAATGGAGGCCATAGATAGACACGGCTGAGAATCTAGCCGCAGCGATAGCGGCTTACCTATCTTCGATCGTATATTTCCGAGTGTGTGTGTAAGTGAACGTGTCTTTCATAGATCGTCTAGAATCGAAAGACTGGAAAGAATCAAAATAACGCATAAGCATTTGAAATGACATTAAACTAGCGTGTTCTATATTTCTGATTAAACGACAATTATTCTGAAATCTTTTTATTTTCGAATATAAAAATTTGTCATCTCTAAAGATTTTCTAACGAAATAACGTTTAATTATATAGAACGATCAAGGTCCTGTGAACGCACACGCCTAATAGTATCATGCTTTCATAATTGCACGTGTGATCGTGTGACATGCCATTTACGTGTATAAATGTTTAAAAAGCGTATACAATGATCTTAGAAAAATTGTGTCATAAAAGAGAGACTCAAAAAACGAGTATGAATGAATACTACAGCGACGTGGAAAAAAGTGAAGACGAATGTGAAGAAAAAATGTAATGTTAAGAGAGTGGATCAAGTCTAAAACAAATTGGAAATTGCAGATATTGTTTCCTTGTATTTCGATTTTTAAACATTAAATATTAGACAATTCCGAATCAACATCTGCATTTCCTGTAACCTTAACGAAGATACTGGCAATTTAAAAAAAAAAAAAAAAAAAGAAGTTTCCAGTTTACCAGTAACTTGTCTTATTCCATAAATGTTAAATGTGGAAACCAAAAGGATGCAGCTACAGAATTTAGCTATAACAATAAGAAAGTTATCAGCTAAAATTAGTGCTCGTTATCGGTAAACTCGATGGCTGTTAACGTAAGAGAATTTAGATTAAAGTTGATTCAATTTAAATAGATTTTTATCATTCTAATCATCGAATTTACCAATATTTCAAATCGACGTGTCCGTATTAAAGTGTCAAAAAAGAATGTCGGTGAGATCGCTAATCAAAATATGACGAATGACGTTGGTGAAAGGGTAAAGTGTGCTATGGTATATGTTTGTGATGTCATGTATATGAGAAAAAGAGAGATAGATAGAGAATGGAAGGATCGTGAAAAGTTCCTGCTCCGCGATTATTAATGAATGATTAAATGAACAAGAGCAGTCAAAGAGAAAGAGAGCGAGAAGAGAGAAACAACACGAGCCAGCCTTCTACTCTCGACTTTTTCTCGATTCGAAGAGATAGATTGTATTGCCATTAATTAAGATTCAGAAGGATAAGCGACGGAACAATATACAATATTGAAATATAAAAATATTTCAAGAAGAGTAATCATACGCAAGATCGAAAATGATCAACTGCCTTGCCTCGTCTCTTATCTATGTACTCCCTAAGGCCGCCGAACGAAGGTAATTAGGGTACTGACTGGATGTTACTAGTGTGACTCCTAGCTGTTTTGCCTGTATTGCTGATCTCATCTACAGTCATGACAATCATCCTAAGTAGTAGATAGTAGGTGGTAATGGTAGATTAGTAGGTCCTAGCAGGTAACATTGCAGAGCTGTAGTCTCGCATAATAGCGGTAGTAGTGGTAGTGGTAATAGTGGTAGATGGTAGTAGTAGTAGTAGTAATAGTAATAGTAATAGTAATAGTAGTAGTAGTAGTAGTAGTAGTAGTAGTAGTAGTAGTAGTAGTAGTAGTAGTAGTAGTAGTAGTAGTAGTAGTAGAAGTAGCAGTAGTAGTAGTGGTAGTAGTAGTAGTGGTAGTAGTAGTAGTAGTAACGGACATGTCCCACCGGCAAAGTGGCGTTTGCTCATTCGATCGACCGACAAGGATCGATGGCAATTTGATCGATCCGATCGATCTGATCGATCGATCGACGGACCGCTCGGCACGGCGTGTTTATAACACACACAAATACAGACATATATACCGTCGGCAAGTATCTTTCTCGGAAGCAACCGTGGTCTTGGGTTACGTAGTAGTAGTGGTAGTAGTAGTAGTAGTAGTAGTAGTAGTAGTAGTAGTAGTAATAGTAGTAGCAGTAGTAGTAGCGGTTGTAGTAGTAGTAGTAGTAGTAGTTGTTACGGTGATAGTACTTGGTATTATTTTCTGTGTGGTTAGCGGAGATTAGGCTTACTGTTCCGCCTCTCTATGATAAATACGCTGTCGTAATCTGGATTATCGAGGTGGAGCGCGTGATGGTCACGATCACGATTCGGGGGGGCCTGCTCGTGGACCGGCTCCGAGGTGGCAGTGGCGGGGGTGGTTACTTGCGTAGGAAGTGGTGGTTGATGAAGAGGTTGTGGTGGTGGTGGTGGTAGTTGCGGATTCAACGGGCTGCAACGGGTCAGCGTCGAGACTGACTCGCCGCACGCGTTTAGGTTTGTCGACCTACAGAAAACACAGAGAGAGAGAGGAGGACAAGAGACGCCCACGATTTTTTTCTGTTTCTTATTTTTCTGCTTTTCTTTCTTTTTTTGCTTTTTTTTTTTCTTTTTCTTTTTTTTTTAGTCTTCTATTCTTTTATTTATTTTCAATGGTTTTTCTCTTTCTTTTCTTTCACGTGCTTGACTGTTTTAATTAACGTTTCATTTCATGTATCAAATATATTTTTCATTTATTTTATTTCTTCTTTTCGTTAATTTCATATTACATTTTTAAATATTGACGTCGTTTGTTCAAGAGACTTTATGAGTAGGAGAGAGAAAAAGAGAGAAAAAGAAAGAGAGAGAGAGAGAGAGAGAGAGAGAGAGAAAGAAAGAGAGAGAGAGAGAAAAAGAGACGACTTTCGAGGAAGGAAAGATGTCAACAGAATTAACGATATAAATTCTATTATCTTTGATCGATATTCTTATCTCCAACTTCCTCTCAGGAGTCTCTCGACCATCGGACATTTCTCTAGCTCGCGTCGGCTCTCTTCTGATCCTTGCTCTGATCGCGACCTCGGTAAGCGTTACCGAGTTAACGTTAACTCCGTATTCGTAGTCGGTTGAAAAATGTTGAACCCTCGACGTAAATCGTCGAACGTTCAATATTTATGCAGCAAACGTCTTCCTCATTCATCGACTACGAATGCCGAGCTTTGTTAAAGTTCTTGGCAGTGGCTGAACCGTCCAGCCCGTTCTGGATATTCGTGTAGGTATCAAACGTGCATCGCCGATTGCTTCACGAGTTTTCCGTGTGAACGCAAACGATTTTGGTAATAGGAGCCCCGTAAGATTCAAAAATTATAGATGAACTTACAAGGTATGAACGGGCTCGTCACGAGGGTAATGAAAGAAGAAAATAATTTATAGATTTTCATTTCAGAGAAGTAAAGTATGGAACGGGACAATGGAAAATTGGAATAGAATATCTGAGAAACACCCTCGCGATGAGCAAATGTGATTTTCACGAGTAACGATGTCGCTAGCGTTATAAAGTGAAAGTAAATGAAAGAAGAAAAAAAAAAAAAGAAGAAAAGAAAATAGAAATGGCGACAGTGAAAATGAAAGAGGAACGATGATGTAAGGTTTATTAATATTATCCAACGTTGTCTTTGATTCCGGGTTGGTGCTGTCTGTCTCAAATGTTCGGTGTTACGTACAACTTATGTGTAAGCTTGAATATTATTATTATTATTATTATTATTATTATTATTATTATTATTATTAGTATTATTATTATTATTATTATTATTATTATTATTATTATTATTATTATTATTATTATTATTATTAGATCTTTTTTTTCCTTTTGATAACGCTTCTTCTCTCGGATCTTAGTAAGTATGGGGATTATTATGTTTTTCGAACGTAACAAAAATTGTGATGTGCACGTAACAATGTAAATTCATCCCGGAAGCAAAGAAAATTATAAGGATATTGTCGGACAGGATTGCGGTAATTACAAATACTTTAATTAAAGTAATACAATAAATAAGAAAGGAAATTATAAAAAGACTTCGCGTCGCGATAAAAAAAAAAAGACGATCCAGAATAGGCATCACTGCAGTCGTATTGTGGACTTTTGGATGCCACGATAAAAATCATAATCGATTAGGTGTCCGATTTGTTATCATTTGTTTTTTCTTTTTCTCAAGAATAGCTTCGCTACACGTGCATCCCGTTTTATTCGTCGCTTCGATAATACGAAAGAAATACGCACGGCTTTCTCTTTTAGGAAATGTAAATGCTCGTTGTCGTTGAAAATAGCGACAGATAAAGAAAGATCGGAAAACAGAGATAGAGAAAGAAAAAGGAAAAGAAAATCCAAAAAAAAAAGAAAAAAAAAAGAAGAAAAGAAGATAAAGAGAAAAAGAAAGAGAGAGATAGAGAGAAAGAGAGAAAGAGAGAAATTGAAACGAATGCAATATGGCTTATACGAGATTAGCGTGCGCGAAATTTCTTTCACGCGACGTATGTACTTTTCTTTTTCCTTTCTTTTTTCTTTTTTTTTCCTTTCTTTTTGACGTCAAACGAAAAAACAAGTGCACGAAGTGGTCGCGATGAAAAAGAGAGAAAAGAGAATGAAATAATTAGGTGCACGCATAGCCGCGCTTGAATGTTGTCGTATGAGAGAGAGAGAGAGAGAGAGAGAGAGAGAGAGAGAGAGAGAGAGAAAGAGAGAGAGAGAGAGAGAGAGAGAATGAGAGAAAGACAGATTGAGAGTTACAGAGTTCGTTTCGTTAATTAATTAAGTTAAAGATCGTTCTCCAACCTCGTCCAAAATACCTCTGCTGTTGCGGTTAAGTCTGCCGGTTTGATTATCTCTTTTATTTATTTTTTTTTTTTTTTGTTCTTTATACGAATTTCTATGAGAAATAGATCTAAAAGCTCAAAAGTATCACACATATATATAATATATACATATATGTGTGTGTATTCTTGGACGCAAGAAGATCAAAAGAGGGTTTTTATTCTGGTTATGATTTCCTTTTTACTATTTTTCGCTTTTCGACTTTACTCGTGTCTTTTTTCTTCATGAACGGGGTCGAAGCGGCTGCTCTTCTTTCTTTTTTTTTTTTTTTTTTTTTTCTTCTTTTTTTTTAATAATAAATCGCGCTTGAATCGAGACGACGAGAGGGAACGAAGAGCGAGGAGTTTCTCTCTCGTACGTCTCTCTAAAAAAAAGATTTCGGTCATCTAACTGAATAAGTTGGCAAGGATGTCGTCGATGCAAGAAAAAAAAAACATTAGTTCTAATTGGTACGAAGTATTCAAAATTACGAATATTAAATTAAAAGTAATAAAGTGATTTGCATTGACGGCATCATTACGTATATTACGCGTAATGTTAACTTGAATAAATTCGAGAACGTAGATATATGAATAATTAATCATGTTCTCGTTACTCTTTAACTATAGATCGCTCGTGAGAGGTTTTGTAAAATGCTTGCGGTGCTTTAATTTGCCTACTGCTCTTAAAAAGGGGGAAGAGTGGACTTAATAGCTAGCTCTGGCTAAGCCTATGTGATGTATATTCTCATTGAGGTCGCATCTGCAACGTCTTACATCTCTTAAAGAATCAAGATCATCGATTCTTTAACAGGAAATTCGTAAAAGATGCCTAAGAACTTTATCGTTTTTCTTTCTCCCTCTTCCTAGGAAGCTTGTTTTAGCTTTCGTCTTAATCACCCGTCCGCCTAGTAGAAACCTCGTCCATCAAGGAGAATTCTCGATGTTTTGCCGCGCACTTTGTCGATCCGTCTCGTTTATCATGCATCGTCATTAGTCACGCAAACCACCGGGCGCTGAGAATTTATGCTTCCTACGAAATTTAACGCGTCATATTTCAACCGACTCATCGTACTTCGCTAATTTGTCCTGAAAACCGTTACATAAGAAGAGAACTTTCTGCGCAGGAGCATGAGAACCTTTTGTACACGATAATCCAGTCAAGTTAATGAGAAAATCTCGAAAAAAGTATTTAAACACTGTCTTGATTAAGAAAAAATTGTTTCAAGAACATTCTCCTTGTTAATCTCTTCTGAATAAATTAACGATAAATTCAGGGACGTTAATCTTTCTCAATCGGGGACGATTCAAAAGACAGGGCGATTAAGAGGATCTAAAAGGATACAAAGTCTTAGAATTTTGTTGGACGTTACAGATACGACTCCCTCGATCTAAAAATTCCTTAAATAGGGGTTTCGTCGTTGACGATCCCAGAAGAGATTCTAGGATTCGAAAATTTAGATGTATTTAATCATGATATTCTTTTTTAGATGGGTACCTGAAGGGAGGAGGAACATTTTTGGTAATAGACACTCACTTTTTCAAAGGCACTGTTCCTTGGGGCCCCTGCCCTGCGCCGTTCCTGGTATCTGTGACCCGGCAAGTCACCATGTTATACGCTGAAAGCAGTTCTATAATGTTACAAAACTATGTTAAATACGTATGCGTTCGGTTTCACAGGTGCTTGCCCAGCCCCTGCGATGCTCGGATCGTTGTCGTCGTCCTCTAATTATACATCGTTCTCGTATTACTTCAATTAATTTAAATTTTTTTATCAATCTCAAATTTGATTGTTAATCATTCTAAATTTAACAATTACCTCTAATCCTATTTACAAGTTCTTCTAATACTTCACGTACGAGAAGTAAATCCCTATTACGCTGCATGTAGATTCGAATGAAAATATCATTATTTCATATATAATTTATTGTTAATTATATGTAAGAGAAAGATCGACACGACCAAGAGCAGAGATGCAGGCCGGATACAAGACATGTTCGTTGCATATCAAGCTTTTTTTCACCAAAGGAACGTCCTTAATCATACCTTTCTCCTGTTTTCGTCTTTTCCGCTTATTGCAGATCTTCACTGCGCATATACTCAGGATAATGGCGACGATGAAGAAAAGAATACCACCCACAACCCCGGCCGTAATCGCCTTATGTTTTACACGAGCAGGCACAGGAAATTTCACTTGATCGCTGGCACCATAATTCGTCGCTGAGTTGGCGAACACTTGGAAATAATATGTCCTACCACCGACCAGATTCTTCACTGTTAGCCCGAAGCAATAAAAAGAAAATTCGTTGGTGTAAAAAAATTATATCATTGACCAATCAAATGTTTGATATTCATACAACTATTAAAGTAATTTGATTTTGATTAATTATTGACCATTGGATCTGTAATACAATTTGTAATATGGCTTTTTACAAAATAACTGTTAACTTTAATTACTAGTTATCTTTTTAACTTACCCAAATAGCTTGTTTCCTCCGGACGAATTTGTCCCTTGTTGAGATTCTTCCAGGGCCCGTCCGTTTTGTATTTAATAGTATAATGTTGAATGAGATGATTTCGCTCCGAGGGAGCTTCCCAAGTAATCAGAAAGCCGTTACTGACCTCGGTCACCGTGAGATTTTTCGGTGGACCAGGTTTCGGTCCTGTAAATACATCGACGTATATAACATTAAATAAATTGATTGAGATAATAATACTACGTATAGAATTTTTAAATAGAAAGGAATCAAGTCATATTATGAGAAGTTATTTCTATTATGTCATCGCGAATGAAACTTTAATGTTTCATTTTTATTCGAGGCATTCTAGATCACGAATAAAAGAATATATTAGATATGAGAAGAAAGAGGGAGAGATCATTCATCATTCCCTTTCAACGTTTTCTTCTTTACGAATTCCACTTGTTATTGAATGTTTCTTTTTCCTTTTTCTTTTTTTTTTTTTTTCTTCTAAAAATAAGGTCAGCTAGAATTAGGATTACGTGCGTTAATAAGGGTAACGAATGAATCCAGGAAGTAATTAGGCTGTAACATCATACGAGCTAGAAGAGCCACGAAAGATGACCTCATGCTTGCGACTAATCCTATTAAGAAGTACATCAATATTATTTCATTACTAACCCACTGTCGTTTAAATTCTATCCATAAACCTTTCTGTGAAAATTGATAAATAGATAATTTATAAACGAAATTAAATTGAATTCATTGAAATTAATCGAGACGGAAAGTCTAATTAAACATTTTTCTTTCATTTACTCATCCTTTTAATACGTCAAGATGATAAATAAAGAATAAAGTTAGGTATAAACGTTACTAAGCCATAAAATGAAAGGAAAAAGTGAATACGTGAACGAGTGGATTAATCTAATTTGCAAGGATCGCGATAAAACCTGAAAGAAAACGTATTCGCCCAAATCTAACTTCGTTCTTTTCGAATAGCCGCACGAAAGGGGTGGTTTCACGAGTAATAGTGGTGGTGGTAAATGCATCGATCGAAACGGGAGAAACCCGTGGGAGGCGTGAAACGAGAGGAAAGCAAAAAAAAAAATAAAGAAAAAAAAGAAGAATAAAAAAAAAAAAAGAAAACAGTTGGTCCACCGTGTACAAAAATCCAACGTTTCTCTACGTTTGAAGTTAACGAGATTCCTCCCATACTCTCTTTTCCATCGAGCAAACCTTAACAAAGGTTTCTCCCCTACTTTTCCCCTTTTTCCAAGATAAACTGATTTTATCGTAATACTGGTAAAGAAGAGATAGTGAATATCCCATGGAGCTTTTGAAGGAACTCATTTTGATTCCAATTTTCCATTTGCGAATTTCGTAAGGAATTCGTTAAAAGTAGTGACGATATGTGAAAGGCCAGCCACAGGCGTCGGAACAAATGTTTTATTTAACTTTAACTTACGAAATTAGCAGTGAGTTAAGAGTATTTTTGCCTCGTTTAAAATGTATGAAGTTATAATTTCTCACCTCTACTCTTGACGTTACTAAATTCGTAAAATATTTCACGAACGCTTTCGTGAAATTAAATGGATCAAGTCTCCCTTTTTCACTTTCATTCGATTTTTTTTTTAACTCCCTTTTTTTTTTCATCTCTTTCTTTACAAGACACATAACATCTATCTGTCTACTTTTTTATCTCTCTCTCTCTCTCTCTCTCTCTCTTTCTCTCTCTCTCCTTCTGTATTTGATTCCTTTCCTTACATCTCCCTTCATCTTACAAGCACAAGACTCGAAGTCCTTTATTGCGAAGCAATAACGTTTAATCCGGTGTGCTACGAAAGGAGAAAGATTATATGGATAAGAAACGACCAGGAAGCTTTGACTTCTTTATTCCGATAAAGAGACGCAATAACGTTGCTAAGAATTTTAATGAGAGATTTTCTAAAAGCTCCTTCGCGCGTGGTCCTTTCAACGATGATCCCAAACGATCGATCTGAAAGATCTCTGAAAGTAAAAGTGCTACAAATTTCCCTTTGTGCTTACGTTCTTGTAAACGTGCTATACAGAATTTTTACAGTGGCGTATTTTATCGTACAAATATTAAGAAAATCCGTGAGATGGGATGAGGTATATGGAAGGTGAGAATTTCGAGAGTGGACGTCGCGTACAAGAGTCACTTTTAGCACGTCGGATTTAATAATGGGGGACGTGACGACGCACACCTCTGACTACTTGCTCAACCCGTATTTCTGTGAACGTACATACGTACATTCGTGTAAAGTAAATATGAAAGAGGACAAAGGTAGGAAGGGAGAGTTCGTCTGAAAACAGATTAAAATATTGCCTTTCCGACTCTCGTATGTGGATACCACGTACGCGAAAATTCACATTTTTACAAATGAAAATAACAGAAGGAATTAGAAAGAAAAGAAAAGAAAAGAAAAGAAAAGAAAAGAAAAGAAAAGAAAATACAGTTGTATACCTTTCGGCCTTATGATTGTCGGGAAGACGGGATTTCCAGTAGAATCGGTCGGTAATATGAGGGTACTATAATCTAAGATGTCTGAAACGAGAAAACAAAACAAAAGAGGAAAAAATCGATTGAGAAATCAAAGAAAAGCAGGGAGACATGTTGTAGTCGCAAGATAAAGGAGGCTGAGGGTGGTGTTCGTAGGGCGTCGTAGGTGAACCGGAAGAGAGATTCAAGCGTACGAACATGATCCCCCAGGAGTATCATTAATCTCCTCTAATCCAGTTTCTCGAGGCAGACTAACAAGCAAAGCTGATGATGCGTGAGCGTGCATGGTAGCTGGTAAGGGTGAGTAGGTTGCTGGATAAAAAGAAAAGAAGAAAAGAAGTAGAAGGACAGAAATCTGTAGGTGCTCGAAGCATCGTATGTACAAATGAAAGGCAATGAACCGTTGGATTCGAGGAAAGGAAATAAAAGCGGAAGCAGAACGAACGGCTCGATGGGTTTTCCGATACGATAAGTCGCGACGGAAGCCTCCGTTCCCTTTCTCTACTTTTATCTCTTTTGCTCTTACGTCTATCTCTTTCTCTCTCTCTCTCTCTCGCTCTCTCCGGATTTTCCTTTCTCTCGCCAGTGGTAGATCCTCGTTTATGAACTATCTTCCATATAACTTTTCAATTCTAGTTGCGTGCCGATACTCAACCGAAAGAATCGTACAAATCGTTTGCAAAAGGCTAAGCTATTTTTCTATTCTTTCCTGGATCTTTTTTGGATGTACATACGCACATAAAATCATTTCGTTAAAAACTTTTACGACCTAAGGATAAATAAGATTTTGAATGTAGATTCTTCCTTTGGTCATTTTGTATCTTTCATTTTGATTAAAAATTATCTAACATTTCATTTGAATTTATTGAAATTTATGAAAATATTTTGATCGAGAATCCGCTTACCGCTTTGGTCCGTCGCAGCAGCCTGACCACTGGATGACGGAGTCAGTGCCACGTCTTTAAAAATGCAGCGATAAGAATAAGAATAAAGAAAAGTTGAAACGAGTAATAGAAGAGAAAGATATCAAGCAAATATTAAAGATCACTCTGTTAGTAATGTAAAAAGGCTGCTCGAGTTATTATTTATATTAATTCTACTTTGATATAAATACGATTCTGAAGCTTGAACATTATTAAATAGTTCATCTTATGAATCAGAATCTTTTATTACCGAGAGTTCTGACGGTGATGACTTTGCTCATTGTTCCATCGCCCAAAGCGTTTTTTCCGATAACCTGAAATTCATAAACCGTAGCCGGTGTCAGTCTGTTGATCGTGACCGTAGTACTTCCCGATGGTGTCACAGGTATCATTTCCCATTCTGACGTACCAGCTTCTCTATACCTGTAACAGAAAAATTAAATGATATCGTAAATGTAACGTGAATGTAACTATCGATGTAAAGGAAAAAAAAAAAAAAATTCGTTAATTTTAGATCGGAGTTACTTGCCAAATAGTATAGTCTTGTTTATAATCAGGTCCACCAGAATAACCAGGTAACCAACTCAACGTTACTGAAAATTCTGTAGCATTCCCAGTGACGTTGTAAGGCGCATGAGGTTGTGTACCCTCGACGATCAGTTGCGTCGAAGTAGAAATTGTAGCAACTTCGTTCGTTGCGATACAGTGATAAAATCCAAAGTCAGCTCTTCGAAGACTTTCGATCGTCAAATTACCGCCATTGATTTTCGCTCGGTTGCGTTGAATCGGAGCACCGTCTCTCTGCGCGAAACAAGTGAGTATAAAAGTCATCTCGATGTAATCGATCACCGTCGAGCAGATTTTTATTCTTTAGAAGACAAAATTTCGATGGTCATACCCTCTGCCACTGTATAGTAGGTTTCTGCGTGCCTTCTGCCTCCTGAGCGTTGCAATGCATTTCTACGGTCTCGCCAAACTTCTTTTGATAAATCGGTTCGGGTTCAAGTGTGAAAACCGGTGGTTTTCTAACAAGCACTTCCATTGGCGCAGAACTACCCTGCGTGCCGTGAGCATTATACGGAGTACAGGTATATCTTCCTTGATGATTCTCATTGACTCGCGTGAACAGCAGGGAGCCGTTGTTCATTATCACGATTTCCTTCGTCTGATAAGGCTCGAGGAGTCGCTTGTCCTTCGTCCACGTTACGTATTGTAATTGCGGATTAGCCTTGATATAGCACTGAACTACACCAGCAAGCCGGAAGGGCAGGTATTGAACCGTCGGCGTGAATGTGACCTTCGCTGGATCTGCATAGCAAAGTGGAACGTGATGATATCGCGATGCATTTTTTTTCTTCTTTAAAACACGTTTATCTCAACTTACATTCAACGTTGAGATAGGCACTGGCACTTTGGGGTTCGCCAATACCGTTGGTAACCTCGCAGAGATATTGACCTGAGTCGTCGGCGCTGACAGGACTAATGACAAGGCTGCCGTCCATCCTGATAGAAGCTCTCGTGTCCAAAGACGAAACTTCCGTGACGGGTGCACCTTCTCGAAACCAACGTACCGTCACATTACCCGGAAGAGCCTTCGCCTCGCAAGAAAACTGAACCTTCTCTCCTTCGAGCTTCGTCTGATTCGACGGCGGTACCATAATGACGGCTCCTCCTGTCGAAACGGAAATTAAACGCACCGTGAAAAGATTCCGCCTGTCCTTATCGCACTTCTCTCCTTTGATCGACGTTCCTTTCCTTTTTCTCTGTTTTCCTCTCTCTCTCTCTCTCTCTTTCTCTCTCCCTTTCTCGCTCGTTCTTTTTTTTTTTTTTTTTTTCTACAACAAAATGGCGTGTATAGCTTAATATCGTGCCAGTGTGGGAGCATCTTCGAAAGCTTCGCAGAATCGCTTTTACATTCGGGAACGGGGAAAAGAACGAGTCGAGTGGGTCCTTAGATGATCGTTTTAAAGGAAAGATACTAGGAGCAAAAGCGTTGCAATTCCACGCTCGTATGAACAACGTGACAAACAAATGTATTCAACGATCAAGAATAATGATATTGGATATTCTCGAATGAAATTCAATTAAAATGCAAATGGGCTCTTCCCTCTTCGCCGTGATATCTCGAGAGAAGAAGAAGAGGAAGAAGAAGAGGAAGAAGAAGAAGAAGAAGAAGAAGAAGAACAAGAACAAGAACAAGAACAAGAACAAAAAAAAGAACAAATTTGAAAGAAAGGAGCCGAATAAAAATTTGCGAAACATTGGATCCTTTTCTTAATCAGAGATGTCCTTCGATTCGATCCTGCTATTATCGCGTAACTTCGAACGACGATTAATAGCGGAATAAGATATCCATGAAGTGAAAATAAATCTTCGTGAATCGTCGTGACGAAACATTGCGAATATAAGACGGGGCCCGCACGCTTTTACATTTCAAATGCAATGCCGTTCGTATTCGATTAAAATGCTTGAATCAAACATCATAGTTGCCCCTCGGCATTGTTTTCTCTTACGACGTTAAGACGATCGGCCTGATTTCCTTCTCAGTTTATAAATCTTCTTGATTTACGAATACAGTAAATGATATTTAATGAAATGTTAAAATGCTATATCGAAATTAGAACGAGAATAAATTTTTTCTTTTTCAATTGAGAAAAATGAAAATATTTATTAACTGACTCATCTTATTTATTTTCATTCGTTGGAAAAGTAAGCAACGATCATTGTGAACGGCAATTCGTTTCGTTGTTGGTGATGACGGAAACACAGCTAGGGCCGACTAATATCCTGGACGAAAGTACGAAATGGACGGTAGTGCTTTTAATGTTAGTCCATGCAGAAACAGGACATGAAACGAGATCGTGCCAGTATCGAGCCAGAGTCTACCCTCGCAAATAGGAACCCTCGTAAATATATACATGGGAAACTAGAGGCCAACGTGATGTGGCCAAAAATCGAAGGACAACCACGTTATTACTTTACTCGTACCACGATCTGATCTCTCCATTCGCAGATAAAGCACATTTCTCTCTTCGACGTTTTATTTATTAGATATTGTATCATTGTATTTTCGTAGATATTATAATCGTTTATTAGTTTCTTTCTTATTGAATATTAATTATTCATTAAGAATAAGATAATAGTCGCGTACATTCATACTCTCAAATACTTATTCATGAATCACCCTACAAATACTTTGTCAGGATACATATTATATTGTTGTCGATACCCGATGGAATTTTTACTTTAATACCCACAAGAATCTGGAAACTCGGAGCTTTGAGCAACGAATTCGACGTTCCAGAAGGGAATATCATTGTAGCTAGTATATAATGGAAAAAGGGATGGATGTATGAAAGAGGGTAAGAGAGTAAGAGTAAGAGAGTAAGAGAGAGAGAGAGAGAAAGAGAGAGAGTACGAAAGAGTGGATAAGGAATGAAAGAGTGGGGATCGATCTCAGCCAACAAAAGGTTGAACTCTTTCTTCGATTCAGCAATATTTTCCACAATCCGATCTGTCGTCACTTGCAGGGATTAAGGTAGGTTTTATGTATCCGCGCGATGCGCGAGACGCGCTCCAGGATTTCAACTCTAGATGTAAGAAATATTCGAAGAATCGTAGATCTTCCGGATTGAAGAGGATTCATTCTTCGCTATGAGAATTCCAACGCGAAAGTACGAATTTATAAAATTCTTTCCCGCGTAAAAGACGCTGTCATAACACGGGATATCGTTCGAGATATGAACGATGTATGTTTTCTTTGATATCTGATATTACTATGATTTATTTGAGCAATCTATTAATAGTAAAGGTAAATGTTTTTCCATAATGTCGACTCGAATGAATTTTAAATGCATTATTTGTAACAAATCGGAGATATTTAATAGTGAATTGCTTTTTATACAATGAATGATTATCATTCGCTTCAATATACCTATCTACACTTCTTTGAAGGACGAATAAAAGAATATTTGTCTCTCTGTGAATCGTCTCTTGAAAAATATATACCAACGAACGTATCGCGCCTTGTGTTGGTATATTCTACGGTTTCGCTTTGCGCCGAGAGGTGATTCAAAGGACCCGTATTCATTTATTCATCGTCCACAGAAGTGCACTGAAGTTTAATGGTGACTATTTCAAAGATACCTACCATACCGTCTTTCGTAAGACGCACGATTCTTATCAAAGCCCAGCAAACTTGCTTTCATTTTTTTTTTTTGCTGTAACTAAAAAAGTGGACATCCACGTACGCGCAACTATTAAATTTGCATTACACGTTTCAATTTACTCACCGACCCGACTATATTTTCTAAAAATTATCTCGCATTCTTTTATGAGAAAAAAGTAAAAAAAAAAAAAAAAAATAGAAAAAAGAAATCATGAAAGAACGTTTCTACTACGTCTTTCTAAAGTATTCTATTTATTAATTGCTAGGATAAAAAGAGTTTATTATAATTAATTATAACTAATTGTGTTTCATCTTTCTTTACTCTGTTCTCGCAACAGAAGTTACATCGTAGTTATAGCTAAGAGAAGCAACTCAATTTAGCAATTCCGTTAGATGTACTTTCTCGACTCGAAGAAACATTAGAAAGGAGGTCAATGAAGTTGAAAACTTTTTATAAGATCTATCATATCCAATGATTCACTATGACGATCATTTTAATTAATATATTATGAATTAACGCTACAGTCGGCAATTAGCGAAGATATAATTTATTATCGTGCGATTAAATAATTACATTCGTACGATTCTATTGCATATTCAATAACGCGGAGAGAAACGTGCTATGCGTATATAGACTTTAAGTTTGGCACGGTTCGTGGATCCAAAAGTAAGGAAGATGGATTCAGGAGCTTCGCTAAATATTCAAAGCAAGATTTAAAAGTTTCCCACCGATGACAGTAGTAAGAAAGATATATATATATAAGATATATATATATATATATATATATATATATATATATATATATGAGAGAGAGAGAAAGAGTTAGACAAAGTTTAACTTCTTTGTTGTCATTTGAAATACTTGGTATTAATGTTGCCGACTGTCAGTATTATTTCATATGGGATAGAATAGGAATTGAAAGATTAGAAAAATAGAATTACGTCTTTTTTTTCTCTCTCTACCTCTTTCTCTCTCTCTCTCTCTCTCTCTCTCTCTCTCTCTTTTTATTTCAATGTCATATTCTACTTTCAACTTGCAATCAGAGAGATATTATGGCGAAATTTTTATTGGTTTAAAACTTTTTCAATTGCGAAAATTTCGATGGAAAACATTTAAAGATTTGTCCCAACATATTAAAGAGAAAATTATTAATTACTCGTCCTTCGATTCGTACTCGATAAAAATTTGATAAGTTTCTGGCAAAGTGTTGGAAAAGAAATATGTAAGAAAAAGTATATAAGATCGTTGGGTCAGAAAGAAACATTAGCCGAGGGGTGCTGCGTTAAGGGGAAAGTAGACAAATCGTCTTTTAACGCGAGTTTCGCGGCGCGCGAGAAGCACCCTTAATTGGCCAGAAGGAGCCGCTGGAGATGTGTAGGTAACCAGGAAAATGGCGATGGTGATTGTGCTGGTGATGATAGTAGTGGACTGTAACCACTTTACCTAATGCGAATTTTATCGTTTCGAGGAAACGACACGCATACAGAACGATACGTATCAATTCATAAGATTTACGATGTATAATATATCAATAATATATACCCCGTACTCGAAGACTAGCAAATTTCAATCATATTGATTTACCTTAGATAAAATACATACTTTTTTAGGATCGAAGTCGATCACGTTAATCGATTGATTTAAAAATAGAAAAAAAAAAATGATAAAAAAAGGAGAAATAAAAAGTAATAAAGAAGAAAGATATTCGAGTACCGGGTATTGTAAGTGTTATCGCTCTTTAGCTTTCGATGATATATGCATAATCATAATGATAACGCAAAAGCTGAGAAATGAAATATAAGGAAATAAAAAGAAAAAAAAAAAAAAAAAAGGAAAAAAAAGTAGAAGAAAACTTTTTCAGGCTTTAATGGGTGCGCAATAGTGGGATACGTCTGTCCGTCCGTCCGTATTTCCTCGTTATTTTTCTCCTGCTCCTGTCCATTACGGGACGAATAGTAGAATTGGTTTCATCGAGATATGTTGCTCGATCATGATCGCTATTTATTTTCATCGATCGCTCGGTGTTGGCACGAATGAGGTAAAAGAAACCATCGACAATGTTGTAAGCGGATGCTAGAAACACTTAAAGCTTTGTCCAGTCGTTCCGTGAGCATTATTAAGATACTAAAATGATCGCATGTGTATGTATGTGTATGTATATATGCCTGTGTGTGTATATGTGTGTGTATGTGAATATGTAAATATATAATATGTACGTGTGATTCGATGAACAGCATTAGCGATGAAACGTTTCCAGCGTGTAAGAGAACAACAAAACCTCTGTGAAAGATCTTTGTAAAAATGAATGCCGGTGATGGCTGAAACACTTTCGATAATTCGCGAGCTCTCATTCTCTGTTTCTAATCACGAGATATTTTTGTCAATCAGATTATATACAATATTATACCGATCGTGAATTAACGTTCTCTTTCTTCCTTTGTTTCATCCTTTCTTTATCTTATCTCACTCTTTTTTCAATTATATATTTTTTTTCTCTTTCTCGAGCTTGATACGCGCTTGATTCGAACTACTTTGAGAGCCACAGTGATATAAGTCAATTACTTCTCTTCACGAGTTCAACACGAAAAAGTATGCTAAAAACTTGATGGTAAAAAATGTAGGCAAACTCCAAGGTGATAAATATGGACATGCAATTCGGCTCAAAAATAAACTATTATCTTTACTAGCGTGATCGAGTTACAAAGCAAATTGATACTAAAAATTATATATATAATATATATATATACGAAGAATGTCATGAATGGAAATTGAAAAATTACTGAATTATACCACTTTGACTTACTTTGATTATTTGATCGTATCGAGCGTCTATGCCGATATAACAACACCATCAAATTACTGGTTCGCTTTGAGGTATTCTCTGATACTGTGGTTACCGGAATTTCCATATCGGTATTCGCTCGATCTGTAATTATCGAAAATATTTGTGTCTAATAACGCTGTGTTCGTCAATAGCCGTCGCAATTCAGTTTTTATTGATTATCTGATAAACGTCGTACTTTCTGTGTAAAGATACTCTTCGCGATTATTTTCCCCGTAAAATATGAGATATGCTTACGCACCTATATATATAAATAAATATATATATATATATATATATATATATATATATATATGTACGAATATACAACAATAAAATTACTCGAGCTTGTACCTTTCTCGTAGAACGAAAAATCATAACGACGCGACATTTTTCGCTCGCGACGAAACGCTGATAAGAAAAATCCTGATTATACCACTGTCCTTGGTCGTACCAGAATAACAAATTAAAATATTCTCGTAGAGCGAAGCGTCGCAAAAGAAAATACAATATTTGCCTGTCCGTGTCGTAGAAGAAAGTATAAAAAAAGAAAAAAAAAAAAAAAGAAAAATGAAAAAGGCTGCTTGTCTTACTTATTGTCGGCTTGATTTCTTCGCGAGATGCCTGCAATATTTTTATCTCATTCTCTCACACTCTCTCACCCACTCTCTCTCTCTCTCTCTCTCTCTCTCTCTCTCTTTCTCTCTTTGCTTTTTTTTTCCTTCTATTTTTCCTTCTGTATATTTTTTCTTTTTCTTAATTTTTTTTACCCTGACACAAGAAGGGGGATGGAGCAGGATCGTTTTCTACGTGGTAGGCGCCTCTCGTCGTCGTCTCGCAACCGCGAACCAAGTGGATTAAGCCGCATCATGGTTCTACCAAGGCTAATGCGTTTCTGTCAGAAGTTAATGCTTAATAGCATCCGCTAATGTTCCCCGCGTGATATTTGCGAGGTCGGATGAAAAAATGAGTTATTACTTCACGTTGTGACGCGATTGAACCCGACGTCGACTAGAAAGGACACCGTATGGACTTGTAAAAGTCTCAGAAAATGCTTTCACAATGGATTAACGCGTTATAAAAGAAAGAATAACAACGACACGAAAGATGAAAAAAAAAAAGACATCATTTTTTTTTTGTTTTTCACTTGAAAAATTTTTTATAACATCGAGACAAAAATTGTTGTTTCCTATTTTTGCTTTCCATTATATCAAATTGACGTTCGTCTAGAAAATCTTTTTTCTTGTTTCTTTTTTTTTTTTTTCTTTTATTCTTTTTATTTTCTTTTTTGTTTTTTTTTTAACGCAATATATAAAATATACATATATGCAAAATACAATAACTAAAGAATTAATGTAAATGAAAAAAGGACTTACGTGATCGACGGTAAAAAGCTAAATAGAAAATAATAAAGATCGTTATTGTCGACGATCTCTTACTGCTACGCGTTCTCAGCATAAACTGAAGACAAAGTTAGCAATAATTATGCCATTCGAACAAACATGATCTTATTAAGTTAGGTGTTCATCATTTTTTTAATTCAACATGTCATAATAAATAAACATTCTGCTGGATTATAATCAAACAAATCCGTATGAATCAGTAATTCTTGTTAAAACTTCAGGATAAATTATTATTACGGAGTACCTTCGGAAAAGTCGACTTTTTTCTTTGAATATTAAGAATAAAAATAAATCTATAGTAACACAATAAAATAATGATTATCTTTCTCACCTGCAATGATGACTCGCGCGGTGTGACTGATCTGACCCTCTCCATTTCTCGCAATGCAAGTGTAATCACCAATATCCTCGTTCTTGATGGTAGCAATTCTCAATTCAGTACCATCGTTGAAAATCCCGATGGTTTGCGAAGGTTCGACAGGATTTGCGTCCTTATACCAGAGAATTTCAGGCGTCGGAGTACCCTCGGCTTGGCAGTTCAATATTATCGCATCGCCCAGATTCACGTAAATCATCTCCTCGGGCGTTATACTAAATCTGGGTGGCGCTGCAAGAATATTGAGTATTATGTTTTTAATCGTTCCACCGTTCGTTGGATTTTTTTTTTAAAGTAAAGAAAAAAAAAAAAAAGAAGAAAAGAAAAAAAAAAGAAAAGAAAAAATATTCAAATTTTGCACATACACGAGCTCTCACGATTTTGTCATTATAATTTTAATTTTCGTATAAGCAATAATATACGTCGATAAGGAATCAATTAAATACCGTGGTCCATTTTTATTTATAAAAAAAAAAGAACATCTTTCGAAAGAGATTTATTTTATTCAAAAATTATCGAAAAATTCGATGAATTTTCGACTCTCTCGAGGGAAGGGAAAAAAACGTATAAGTCGTGTATAACGTAGAAGCGAGGAACAAATGTTAGAGAATGAGATCGAGAGAGTTCTTTTCGTCCTTGTCCAGCGTATAAATCAAATATTTCACGACGAAACCAATCCAACATTCAATTCGAGTGTTTACATGTCAGCGACTTTATATCGTGCCGAGCGCTACAAATTGGACGAGCGCCAAACTCTACGCTTTAGACGTCCACCGCAGATGTAAAGAAAAAGCTCCGATGGAAGATGATAATTTCTATCCGTCGAATCTCTTCGAATATCTTTCTTTTCGTATTCTCATTAGAATGACAATAGGAATATATAGATAATGGTTCGGTTACCATACGACGTAAAATGATGAAATTTACATTTAGAACGAACGAACGAACGAACGAAAGAAAGAAAAAAAAAAAAAAAGAAAAAAGAAAAATTTATCCTTCCTTCATTTCAGAAATTTTTTTCACAAAATTTTCACGATATCGGCTCGTAACTTCTTCAACGAAATTGCAATTTTCTTCTTATCTTATTCCTATGGAAAACTTCGAGATCATTAATTACACAACTTAGGCGATATTGAAATAAGTAATTGTAAGTCGGCCGTCCTTCCTCCTATCTCTCCGTTAGTGGATCGTAATTACGATTCGGAATATAAATTACATACGATGGTGGACGTCGTCCGAGACGACGTCGGAAAAACGGACAGTACTCTATCATTGTAATGCGAGCTCGACGGCCGAACGGAGGCACTTCAGTGAAGGACAAAGGAGCCTTAAACGTTTTTCCGGTGCCCCGAGTATTTTTCTCTTTGATGCCGAGTCTATCGTCGTCGTAGTCGTGGTGGACGTAGTCGAGTGTAAGCCCGACGGCTCGAGGCTTGGTTTCGGAGCAAATGACGAGGGGTGGAAAACACGAAGGGAGAGAAAAAGAAAAAAAGGAGTCACTTTCTTCCTTCTCTTTTTCTCTCTTTCTCTCTCTCTCTCTCTCTCTCTCTCTCTTTTTCTTCTCTTCTTCTCTCCGTCTCTTTCACTCTCTTTTGTTCACAATCTAAATGCTTTTCCTTTTCTCTGGCCTTTCCGCGACATTTATGGCCAAACAAAACGCGGCAATAAGTTTTTCCCTCCCTACAGTTTTTTTTTCTTCTTTTTCTTTTTCTTCTTCTTCTCTTCTTGATTCTTTTGGTCCTATCTCTCTCTCTCTCTCTCTCTCTCTCACTATCTCTCTCTTTCTCTCTCTCTCTCTCTCTCTCTCTCTCTCTCTCTCTCTCTCTCTGTCCCTCTCTCTTGTTGTCCCATCGACGTTGACGAATCGGGAAAACGCTTGCGCGGTTCTTCACAAGGCAAATATCTTTGTTCTTTCTTTGTTTTTCTTTTTCTTTTTCTTTTTCTCAATTTCTCTACCATTTTTCTTCTCGTCTTTCTCTTTTGCGACGAGGGAAATTTAAAAATCTGAGATAGAGAAAACAACGCTCGAAGCGTTTAACGGAGCATGAAGAAGCGATACTCTCGTAGGTATTTTGCCGAATTCTCACGAAGATATGCGAATGAACTTTTTCATCTTTTTATTTCTTTTTTAATAAAGAAAATATCTAGAATTTGTTCGTCTTACAAATAAATACGTTAATTTAAAATTATTTATTACTTTGTAATAAGAAAGAATATGAAATAAAATAAACTCGATGCTCGGAGAAAAATGATGTTTGAGTTTGAACCAACTTCAATGTCGTAAAATTTTATATAACATTTGCGAACCGCCTTTTTCCCAATTTCCAAGCTACGCGAATAGAAAATTTATCATAAGAATGGAAGAAGAGAGAAAAAGATGTAAGCCTCGCCGTAAAGTTAATTCTGTTTAAAATATGACAGAAATACGTTAGTTGTAGACGTATAATCTGCTTAAGCTCGAAGTAATATTAAGAGGAATGGGAAGAAGGACTCAAGAGGAAGCGAGGTAAGAGGGAGATGAGTTTGGGGTGAGCGCAATGTAACTTCGTACTCTCTGACGTAAGTCGGATAAAAGTTTCGAAAAAGTAACTACTACACCAAGTAACTACTGTGGGTATGAAACTTTTTTAGTACCCACCACCTACCCCTACCCATGATCGGTATCCTTTATTTTTACATAGGATGAATATGACGAAGAAAGAAAAAGCATGAAGGAAGAATACCCGTTCGTCAACTTCGTTTAACTTTAAATCTTTCTAGTCCTTTTTCTTTTTCTTTCTTCCTTTTTCTTTTGTCTTTTTTTTTCTTTTTTTTCTTTTTTTTTTTTTTTTCTTTTTATTTTTTAACACGTGTATGTGCACCTTTCTTTGAAATTTTTATAATAACGACCCTGTATTCGAAAATGTCCTGTAAGTAAAATCATTATGATAATAATAATTATTGTAAAAAAAAAAATGGCACGCACCGTGGACGTCGAGATGAAACCAGGTACCGTTCTTGTGACTGTTAGGCGACCTGTTGAGGAAGACGACCTTGCACTCGTACCAGCCTTGATCGCTCTCGCGGATGTTTGTAAGGTTTAGGCTGGCCACTCCGTAATTCGAATTTGGGCTCACTCTCGAGACGCGACCTTCGTATCCTTCGCCACTGTGGGTCGGATACGACTCGTACCATATGTATATCGGTATCTCCTGCCCCTTGCACCAACACCAACACGCAACATAAACGAGGGATCGCAATGGACGCGAGCTTACCGATGCGAGTGTATTTATTTATCTATTTTATCCGAAGGATTAATTTCTTTATCTTCAATTTTTAAAGAATCCATTCTCTAATTACGTTTCAAGTCGCTCGCATCGGCCGAATAAATTATGAAACGATGACATATGACGAAACAAAGGTAATGCAGCGATAAAGACGAAGATATAAGCTTTTAAATGTTCTCCTTTTATTGGAGATCAGGCAGGACGGATGAAAACGGGAAAACATTTCATTTTCCTTCTTCACATATCAGCCCAAAAATTTTTATCTTTATGATATATCAATATATTTTTCTATTTTTTTCTTTTTTTTTCTTTTTTTTTTTTCATTCACGCTTTCAAGTCCATCGTGCCGTTAATTGATTGGCAATGAAATTACCGTCGTGCATGCAAGTTATGTGTGAATTTCGGGTGCGAGTTCTTTGCCATAAAAAAAAAAAAAAAAAAAAAAAAGAAAATATAACAAAGAGAAAAAAGAAAAAAAAATAAAAGAAAGAAGAAAAAAAAATAGAAAAAGAAGGAAAGGAAAAAGAAAAAAGAAAAAAAAAAAGAAAGAAGAGACGATGAGAAAAGATTAGGGCGATGAACGAACGTGGTTCGTTTACTTGATCAACGATAAAAGATACATGCAACTATAGTTGTATCGTGCTCGTGATGTTCACAGAAAAACGTTTTAAAAAGATCTTTGTTCGAAAATCCAAGCGCAGTTTCGGATTACCAGGGGATTCCGATGCCGTTCGTTTTTGTCTCAAGGATAGTAACATAGCGAGGAGATGGGTGTAGAGGAGAGAGAGAGAAAGAGAGAAGGGAGGTCATACGAATTGCAATCGAATCCGATCGGATCGTAGTATCCACTCCAATTTCCGATCCCAATGATTCGGTCTATTGGAGCATCCGCATCGCATCAAATAGTTCGAAATCGAGTCATCTGCCTGATAACATTTAACTCTCAATCGAGAATCGTCCTGTTTCGTGGTGTCAAAGAAGAACGATTTAAATGGCCTCCTTCCTAGAAACATTTCTTTCGTGTTTATGCCTTTTTCAATGAACATTTCTAACATGCAACGTTGTTCATTTGATTTTAAAACAGAAACTTATTACAGATTATCCTATATGATGAAATAATAGAATTAATAACAGGACAATACTAAAAGAGTTTCCTTGCTTGTCGCATAGAAAGGAATGTCGTTGGGCATTAACTGCCCCAGTTGTGACGGTTTCTATTTCAAGCTGGCCTAGTTGCATTGATAATAACGACGACCACGATGCTTACGATGACTACGATGCCGAAGAGGTTGGACTCGACTCGCGTGATTTCAATATCGTTTTCCCTTGAGCCACCGAATTCATTTCGGTATCGTCATTCGGTTGCGATGTATTGTACGGCTAGCATGCCATGTAAAATATAAACGTGTATATATATATATATATATATATATATATACTTATGTATTGAGTCGCGGAATGCACTCGAGCGCAAAGTGCCAGAAAAAGGTCGTCCTCGGTTCCGCTTTCCTTCGGGAATGCTACACTTTCCTGCTCGTTTATTCAGTCCAACCCCTTCCACCTCTTCTCCCACCAACCCCGTATTCTCACCGATCTCTTCCTCTCGACTTTGCCTCCACGATTACTGTAAAGTATGTCCCTCGCAATGCTCGATTTTTCGAACGAAACGCGAAAACCATTTACCGCGCGGTTACCCTTTTAACCCTCCCTTTATCTTTTTCCTTTTACTTCAAAGTAACATTTCGCTTTTCCTTCCTGAATAAAGAAAAGGAATCGTACTCGAGTCGAGTAGTGCGATCGATAATGACGTCTTTCTTTAATCTTCACGATTTTTCTTTAATCCTTTGGACGGATTAAAATTTGATCGCTGACCAGAGACAGTTAGAACTAAAATCCGTTAGCCATTTTCTCCGAAAGTATTTTATAATGTTCAATGGGAATTGGGAAAAAAAAAAAGGAAAAGAAAAAAAAACTGTAGAATGAGTTGAAAATGCAGAGAGAAAAGAAGTACGGATTAAAGCAAGAGATTTGAACGTAATGAAAGAAGAGGAACGATAAAGAAGAGCGTGGAATAAATTATGAGAAAGCATTTTAGTTTTCAAAGTGATCTTGAACCTTAGATTTTCTCTATTTCTTTTCGAAAATCATACAGACAAAAAGGAGTATGAAAGAGCATGAAAAAAAAAAGAAAAAAAAGAAAAGAAAAAAAAAAAGAAAAAGAAATAAGAGAACTAGAAATGACGTAGACGTTGAAAACCCCTTCAAGATGACACGATATATGCAGGAAAGCATAACGTCATCGTTGGAGTATCGTGACCCTGAGTGAATAAGCGAGAATAACTCGCTCTCTTTCGTGCGAGCACCTAGACGAGTAGGCGTTTTACACCTACGCCTACGACAAGACCATCGACATATAGGTCGCTTGACTTTTCTCTCTCTTTTTCCTTCTTTCTCCTTTTGTTTGCTCTCGGCCCTATTTTCTCAGCAACGCTCTCAGTCACGTTATTGTTCGAAAAGCATACGATCATCTTCGCGAACCCGCCTTTTTATAGGAAAGAGAAACGATGAATCTAAGATTGGATCGCTGAGCTTTAATTATCATCCTGAATTCGTTGAAAAGTTTGACATAATGATCTTAATAAAATTTACTTTAATTTTCAACGAAACAATTTAAAATCTTCTTTCGTATAGGCAAAAAGTAAAATAAGGAAAATAACTGGGACATTAGGAAGAAAGAAGGTCTGATTTTATGGATGCGTAAACTCGAGAGAAAAGAATCTTGATAATTCAGTCGTGGAGAAGCGTAGAAGTGGGAATGGTAAAAAATAAAATGACAAGGGGAGGACGAACGAATGGAAGCTGGCTTGCCGTGCGAAGGGGATGAAAAAGGAGAATAGAAAGAGGTCGTTCTCATTCCCTATGCGCACCACGACCGTGCTACTTAGGTCACTTGAGAAAAAGGGAGAGGAGCTCGCATGCGGTATGTGTTGCGGAAATTTTGATAATTCATCCAGCCAGCAACGCGATGAGGGGAAATGGACGTACGTTTCGTGATGGCCAATGCGACGAGACGGCTCGGAGGGAACCTGGATTCGTGCACTTTGATATTTAAACCGAGCCGCGTATCCTCCAGAGATATGACTTCAACTTGGAACGGCCTTGCTCGTGAAACGTTAATGAGCTCGGCACATCTCAAAAGTCCGATGTAGCGACACGACCAAAATTCCGCGTTATCTCTTCCAAAATCATGAGAAATTGACTTCCCCGATTGAATTCATTTGAATTTTGGATCGATATTACTACGAAGAGATCCAATCTGTACTCTTTTCATTACGTTATGTTTCAACGAGTCTATTATTTGAGCTATCTCAAATCTAACTTCGTTAAATCATAAATTCATTATAATTTTACGCATAACGAAAAGGATAATTAATTACACCACAAGTATGGTATGGCATTGTTTCGAAGAAAATTTACAATCAGCCATATTTCATTAATATCTCTCTTTCTCTCTCTCTCTCTCTCTCTCTCTCTCTCTCTCTCTCTCTCTCTCTCTCTCTCTCCGTAACCCGGTACTAGTAAAATTATACGCGACTTCCAAATGATAATTAACCAGATCCAAAAAGATAAGAGAATACCCATATAAATCCAAATGGTTTAATTTTTATCCTTCGATCAGCTATATATAATTTGACTTTCAAAGCGAAGATTAATTACATATCCTAATAACTTTCTCATATCTCGAGAAACAATACAATGATATTTTCTTTTGCAATATTGCAATTTATTTCTACAAATTAATATCATTTTCGAGTTTCAGATTCCAAGAAAAAGATTTAAGAAAATCTATGACAATGTTAGTGGCATCAAGGGAAGAAGTGGTAAAGAAGTAATAGAAGATTGGTAAAGAAGCTTAATGGAGCATTGGCACTCTGGAGAAACTCGCTTCGTTTACACGACAAGTTCTCGAAAGTACTTTCTCAGAAAGTCACCGGAGCTGATATCACTTTTGGGAAAAGGCAATCGAGTCCTTGGGCCAGATGAGAAGTAATTCTTGGATCCAGAATGATACCTAAGAAACTATTCGCAATATGAACGCTTTAACCGACGGTTTAACACCTGCACAAGAATAAAAAAGCACATATTACGTTCGTGAGCTCTGCGAGAAAATGAGAATGCCGATCGTTATGATACGTAAAGTAGTGACGCAATGAGCTCAGTGGAACCAGCTGTTTCTTATGTGCGAATGTCGATTTTACTGAAAATTATTTTCGATAATATAGCAAATCACAATTCGATTTCTAAAGGAAATCAATTTCCTAACCAGGTGCTACGATTACCTTCGTCTTATCTACGAAACTGCATCGTGCATAGTATTTGAATCGAACGAACTTTAATTTTTTATCAGAAAATTATAGCTCACTCGCGACACAGATGTCATCGGTGTCTCGTTCCCTGAATAAGTGTAATAATTTTTCTTAGTAGACACGATATTTATATTTCAAGGTTGTCATTCAAACGTTTTCTTATCGCCGTGAATGGTGTTAAAATATCGTAAATTTATTTTTTAACATAACAATGAAGTTTCCTTTAAAAGGAAAAAATTGTAAATATTTCGTTCCAAATAAATAGGAATATGTAAACTCTCTACACCATACAAATACCGAATACGTCGCGCGTAAAGAAAAGGGGGAAAAGGAAGAAACGGAATGTTGAAATTCACGAAATTTGCGGCGGGAACGTTGAATATTCCGCGAAGAACGTAGATTCCATGATTTCCGTTTACAGTCAAGTCACGAAAGCGAGAAAATTGTCTTCGTTCAGGACAAACAGGTTTTTGGTGTTTACCTTCGCGCCCTGTGCTTTGGTATTCCTATTCCATCTGTGGAAACAATGCACGTTGTATGAAGAGAATAAGAAGAGAATTTGTT